TTGAAAAAACACAGGAAAAAATGAAAGGTTACCAAAAATTCAGAGAAATGTATTACATTGTTTTGTGTCAAGAGAGAGAATGAACAAATTTGTAATTTGTAATTTAGTTTTCAAAAAGTTTGACTCGAGAGATTAGAGCCAATCGTAGAACACAGAAATGAGATTATAGTGATATAGGAATTATAATACACCTGGCTTTTCAATTGTTAGCTTTCCATTTCAGTGTTTTTTTGGTTTTATTTTATTTTATTTTATTATCTTAAGCTTCAAAGCTTAAAAAGACTGAAAACATTTTTACTTAATTTGTCTAAATGTTTCATTTTGTGCCAAGATGTTCCAACCTAAAAAAGAGGAGACAGAGATTGCCTCTTCAGGCTGATTTTCCTAAATGCGACATTATGACACCATCCATTCTGATGTCAAAAAAATATTTATCTTAAAATATCAGTAATCTTATTAAAGATGTAGTTAATAATCACAAATTTACCCCATGAGTAGCATCTGTATACGTATTTTCCTTTTATTGGCTCTTAAACCAGCATGTTTGGTTTGTGAGTGTGTTTTTCTTTTTTTGAAAAAACCTTTGCAGTTCACCTTTTAAGGGAGATAACTCCACCTGAAAGAGAGAAGGCGAGGAAGGCCCATCAGTCTAACTCCCTGAAGTTCCCAGCACATTTCGAAGACTCAACATGTTGTCAGTGGAATGTCTGTCCTTTGCAAAGCCAGTTTGCTCTAAACAGACTAACCTAGGCAGAACATGCTCGAATCTGCCATTTTAACATTAGTATTAAATGGGGCTGTTCGCCTGAATGGAAAACAGTTTGTGGGGAGGGTCTTTGCCTTTTTGGGGAGTTATTAATAGTTGCTCAATCCATGAAATGTAAGATGTATCCATCTTGTACTCTCCGACAAGGCATTTTTTCCCTCTCCAGACAAGGCCTTGTAGGCATCACAACAAAGCCCTTTACTTTGCCTGCTTGATAATGATGTGATCCTGATATCTTCCTTTGGTTCTCTTATCGAAGAAATTGGGGCAGATCCTATTCCAAAAAGTTTGTATATGATATATCTTTCAGAAGGAGATTCTTCCTATGGATTGGGTTACCTGATTGGTTATTAAAGCTTTTCCTGTTTCAACTGAAGTAGACATTTGCTTATACATTAACTGTACTGAATTGTCCTGTCATGTCGGCTAGTCATCCTTTGGCATTACTGCATCCACTATTTGGGCTTTTTAGGGTTGTCAGGCCCCTTTGATGATCAAGATAAATTTTTTTGTCTCCAAATACTTTGATTTTAATAAGAAAATATTTTTGTCTTTTTGTTTCCAGTTATTTATAGCACAAAATTATATAGATTTTTCAAGTACATTGAAAACAGAGATGTGGCCAAATCCGTTTTGAAGGAGCGGGGTCTTAAGAAGATTAGACTGGGAATAGAAGGTAAGACATTTTCATTGTTTTCTGTTAATTTTTCAAAAACAAGGTTAAAAAATTGGATCTCATTTAGAATATAGTTTGAATACTTGAGAAAAACTCAAACAATTATTGAATGATCATGCAGTAGACCTATAAATAACAAAACTCAGCTTCCTTTATTTGAGAAGACCATTAGAAGTTTTGATTCCATAAGATTCCCTGGCGATATGAGAGATACGAATTTATCTTCTGTAGCTCACCCTAATGTATTTTTGATTGAGCCCATATATTTTTTAGATTACTTTTTACTTTATGATTTAAATGAATTTTTCCAGATGCCGTGTCAGATGCTTCTATTATTTTAAAGTGTCCTTACTAAAAATACTTTTCTTGGCACGACATGGAATAGTGTAAAGAGTAAAAGTTCTGGAGCCAGATTTCTTGTGTGACTTAATAGCTGTATGACCTTGGCCAAGGCACTTGACCTCTCTGTGCCTCAGTTTCCTCATCTAAAATGGGGTATTAATGAATACTTTATAGGGCTATTGTGAGGACAGAATGAGTGGATACATGAAAAATGCTTAAAACAGGGCCTGCCGTGTAGTAATTTCTCAGTATGTTTGTGATGATGAAAATGAAGATAATGGTGTTGATCAGTGGCCCGGTCAAGCTGTTGGAGATGACAATACAGCAGGTCCTTCGTCATTTCATTACAACACTGATGAGATGCCATAGGAACTTAGCTCTTGTTTATATCAATTAGCCTGTGATAAAATTGGTTTCATTATGCTGTTTGCTTCAAGTTGCAGAACCTATTGACAGTGTTAAGTGAGGACTTTAATGGTCTACTGAGACATGAGGAAGAATGACCAGAAACGGTCTCTGCAGCACGAGGAAGAGACTAGGGGCTTAAACAGTAGCGAAATTGCTGACACGTTAGTTTCACTCGTGCGTCTTCTCTCATTTTCCAAACAGTGGGATTTAGCTGCTTGGTCTCAGAGCTAGAGAGAAAGCAACTTGAGATCGGGAAGGCAGGGACGGTCTCTTTCAGGAGGAGACATCTCAGCTGAGGCCTGATATCAAGTAGTTTTTTATAAAAAAGCCTTTTATATACTGTGGTACGGAGTATGGACCTTCCCCTTTCATCCTGAGGAAGCTATTCGTAGTTTTTAAGCAAGTGCTGATTCTGTGTGGAGGACATATTGGAATATGATGAGATGGAAGTTTTGAAGACTTTCTAATAGTTCTGGAGGATCCAGGACAAGAGGAAGAAATGGCCTCTCTCTGATGTCCAGTGCTGCCCTTCAGGTGGCAGATGACTGGAAGTGTGAAACGCAGAAAACGTTCTCAGAGGGTCTTTCAAAGGTTTTTAGCTCTGCCTGCCCCTGTGCCCTCCTCACCTCAAACTCTCTCTCTCTCTCTCTCTCTCTCTCCCTCTCTCTCTCTCTCTCCCTCCCTCTCTCTCCCTCTCTCTCTCCCTCCCTCCCTCCCTCCCTCCCCTGCAACACACACAGGTGGCCTAATAGACGAGCTACAGTTTTGATGCCTGCATACATCCCCTTAGGCAATAATCATTGAGTCCCTAATATATGAGGCCTTTCTATTTTTCTCTGATTCTCACTCTGGTCTGACTGTGGCCCATGGGCCAAATCCAGTCCATTGTCAGTGTTTTTATAAATAAAGTTTTACTGAAACATAGACATGCTTATTTATGTATTGTCCTGTAGCTGATTTCACTTTACAGTGGCCTAGTTGAGTAGTTGCAGTAGAAACCATATGGCCCACAAGCCTGAACCATTGGGTTGTCGGAAAAGTCATGAAGTATTTTTCTATGTTTTTCGTTGCAAAAATGTGTCATGACTTTTCCGACAACCCAATGTTTATACTGGCCTTTCACAGAAAATGTTTGCCCTGGTCTAAACAAGCAACTCTTGCTGGTAGGAAGGAGGGAAGGGACTCAGTAACGTCTAAGGAGATTATGTCTTTGGAGAAATTGTCTTACCTGGTAAATGACCAAAACTTTTCCTAAACTAGGATTGTCTTTACTCGTTGTTACTTTTCAGTGCTTATGATACAAGAGGAGGAAGATACGATTAATCAGGGACAGCTGCTTTGGAATTGCTGATCTAAAGGAACTTCTTCATTGTTGGGAATAGAAATTTTAAAATGATATATGGGGTTAAAATACTGGCTTTGCTGACCTAGGTGCAAAAGTCCCTAGAACCAGTGAAGTTGAGGAGTGCTCTACATTTTTGTCATTTAACCAGAGAAGGAAAGAAAAAACCCAGAGCAATGTAAAGAGGAGATTTAAGTTTAAGGAAAGTAGAAGGCGAATTTGGTAGTAAATTTTAGGCCTTGAGGCCAGATAATCCTGTGAAGAGAAGCGTTCAGGGATATTAAGGATACGTAGCTAGAGCCCAAGATGCACTAGATTACATACAATTTTATTTGGGACCCACCCCCTCCATGCTCTTAAAGGTTGTTTTTCTGGCGGTTGGTGTATTGAGTAGCTGAGGGGATTGTGGTGGACGGTTTTGTGAATTACATCAGTAGGATTTCAGTTTCTGGCTGTTGAACTGATGACCAAGGGGATGGAATATTGGTTTTCTTTCTTTTTAATTTGTTTGTTCAGGAGCTACAGCAGAAAAGCCCTCTTTAGGCTAAACTGGGTGAGAAGTAGGGGTGGGGCATGTATATATGTATATGTGTGTCCTCAGTTTTTAAAACCTTCCTCTCCTCCAGGTTATCCTACCTATAAAGAAAAAGTAAAGAAAAGGCCTGGAGGCCGCCCAGAAGTGATTTACAACTATGTCCAAAGACCCTTTATTCGAATGTCCTGGGAGAAGGAAGAGGGGAAGAGTCGGCACGTGGACTTCCAGTGCGTAAAGAGTAAATCGATCACCAACCTTGCAGCAGCTGCCGCAGACATTCCCCAGGACCAGCTGGTTGTCATGCACCCAACTCCGCAAGTGGACGAGCTGGATATTCTCCCAATCCAGCCCCCTTCGGGCAGCAATGACCTCGAAGCTGACGCACAGAACCCCGTGCTGTGATGCTCATGTCCCCTGAAACCATAGCATGCTACTCTTCATGGTGCCGTCGCCCTCTTCCTCATTCTGCACTGCGAGGCCTCTCTTCATCGTGACGTGCACATGTTTAGGATGCAGCAGTGTGGGCTTTTTTAAAGACCAAAGGTAGCGGAATGGTTTTTTCAATGAGTACAACTCCAGCACCCGGAGGTTCCAGTTCTATAAATGTATTTGTTTACCAGTAAGTTTGTGAAATTGGTTCTTTGTATGGGGGACAGTCCTTTTTCACACACCTAGATCTTTTCAGAAGTCGTGGAAATTGGCAGCTGGGGTACTTTCCGTCTAGATTGATATTCGTCACACCCCAGACAAAATGCAGAATATTATATAGTTGCACTTTATAAATGGTGGTTAAATGGAACTGTTCAAGCCATTTTTATAGTTGTGATGCACAATATAACTTTGAAGTGCTTCTATCAAAGTATTCCTTCAGTGAAAGTGTATAGTTTACTGCCCATGATGAGCAAAAAATGAGTATTTATCATTGGGCTTCTTTGAATAACTAGAATGAGATTCAGTGCCCATATCTTGTCTTTTCAGTTTATCTTCAGTGCCGTTTTCACCCTGTCAGAGTAAGCCACATGCAGGGAGTGTGAACAGCAGGGGTGGTTTATTATCCAGTCTGCCTTACCCTTAATCTGTTCACAGATATTTATTTACTAATGATTGTTTTTCTTAAGAGTTATGGGATAGGAAAATGAAGTGTTTGCTCTTCATTTACTAAATGATTGTAAACTCGAGTTTTTCATCAAAATAAAATTTCATTGTTTTAATGTTTCTGATCAACTTTATAACCTTGACCATTTTTAGTCTCATAATTAGCAGAATTTCTGTCTTGATAGTGTCAGTATAACTAGAAAACAGTAGCTCAAAGAACTCCAGTTTCATATATGTGTGATGAGGCACTTAGATTCCCTACTAATTCTAAAATACTATAAATTCAAACAATGTTAGACCTGAAAAGAGAATATTTTCTCGTTCCACCTGATGTGAAGGGTGAAATACTTTTGCTAGGTCATACTGTAACCTTAATTTTCAGAGCCAATTTCTGACACTAGTTCGGGGCTTTTTCCATTGTACTGTGCTGCTCTGCTTAGCATATAATTCATACAAATGCTATTTTTTAATATTCTGTGGCCCAATTCAAGAAGGAATCAAAATATTTAGGTTTGGGTCACATAATGTTAGAAGCCATACAGCTGTGAGTAGTAGTGGAGAGGAGTTGTTATAGAGAAGCCAATTTGTTACATCTAATCTTGCATTTGTAATTTCAGAGGATTTGAATTTTGTATTTAAACAGTAACATCTTTGTTCTCAGAAATTAAAATTGCAACAATTTGGAGATTAACTATTTTCACAATACAGCGAAGCAGGGAAATTACGTCAGTCCCAGACTTGATAGGAAGGCCAGAAAGGTGTAAATGTCATTGGCATGGTCGTCCTTAAAACCTACTGTAGAAAATTGATGATCCAGCCTGTAGCACATAGGATTTTTTTCTAATTATTTGAAAAGTGAACAGTATTTATAGAACAAGGGAAACATTTATTAAAAATATTTAACTGTCTAATACATTATACTTTAACCCATATTTATAGTAAAGGATTCTTACAAGGAAGAATAAACAGCTTTATGATACAATTAGTATAAGAAATATCCACATGGGGATTTCTTTGTAGTGTAAAAACACCATACATCTGAAATGACCATTTGCATATAAAAGCTACCAATGATGCTTCTGTGCACAATGATTAAAAAATTCAACACAAACAGAATCCAAAATATACAATTAATGCAAGCTATCCACAGCTAGCCCAATAATCAATGATGAGGAAACACTGGAGCAGGCTTAGTTCCACTTTGTCTGAAGTTACACATAGTAAGATTGACTTGTATCAATGGCTCTGAGATGGCTTTTATGAAGACAGTACATAAAAGCTGTTCTCTCCTTACCCAGTAAGCTTCACAGACTGTAAAACTCCACCAGTAATGCACTTTGATACTGTAGTGTTGCTAAAGCAACATGTAGTGTTTACAGCGGCCATGGCAAGTCGCTAAAGTCCACGGGGCCACCCAGCCCAGCGTCTGCTTCCAAGAGGCTCATTATGACCGCCATTGCTGCTTCATCGTTACTGGGACTGCTGGAGCCTTGATCGTTGTCTATCATGTCTATGCCTATGTGAGGGTTGTCGCCTGTGGGAGAAGATGAAGACTGGTTGGTGGTGATACCACAGCACGCTTGCCTTTCGTAAGCAGTTCCTAAGCGTACTTTTTTTTATTATTTTTTTAAATTGAGGAACAAACAGTGTGTTTTTCCAGGACCCATGAGCTCCAAGTCAAGTAGTTGTTTCAATCTAGTTGTGGAGGGTACAGCTCAGTGGCCCATGTGGGGATTGAACGGCTTGGTGTTTTGAGCACTGTGCTCTAACCAACTGAGCTAACCGGCCACTCCCTAAGCGTACTTTTATTTTTATTTTTTATTATTTTTAAAAAGATTTTATTGGGGAGTTAGGGGAGGGGAACAGCGCTGGGGATCAGAACAGGGAAGGGGAACAGACAAGTTGCTGTCTTTGGTTCTTCAGTCTAGTTATGGAGGACGTCGCTTCACTGGCCCATGTTGGTATTATCATTGCTCTCTTCCCGGGTGAGGCAGTTGCTCACCGGCCACTGGACGGCAGCTCACGCTGGCTGCTGGCTGCTGGCCGCTCACAGTAGCTCACGGCAGCCCAGCTCCAGGTTGAGCTGTTGTTTACCATCTTAGCTGTAGAGGGTGCAGCATCACTGGCCCTCATGTGGGACCTGAACCGGGGCCCTGCTGCTCAGAGCTGGCGTCCCAAGCCAACTCCTAACCAACACAACCAACACGCCACTCTGCCAGCCCCCTAAGCACACTTTTAATAAGCTGTGCTTAACAGTAGGGTGAGAAGGCTGAGAGAGGCTACCTTTGGGGCTGCATTGCCATATGGTTTTTAACTTAGAAGTTTTTCAGGGGGAAGAAACCACTTTTTAGGAACAAAGTGCTTAAAATTCATTAAAGATTAAAAGCATTTGCGTTGATCTCATTTTAATATTCTGATATAACCAATTACAAAGAGAGTTATAGAATGAAAGATAAATAGGAAGGTAGAGATTAGGGAAAAAAGATCTAGAAAGATAAGAAAAAGGTGGGGTGGGAGAAGCAAACTCTTCATCTCTAAATGACTTTTAATACCCTCTGAAATGCTTATTGATCACCCCTCTAGGCTTTATCTCTGAACCTTCATCCACTTTTCCTTTGAAGAGATTATATCCCAAGTGGTGGGAGAAACTGCCTGGGTCTGCTGCCTAGTCTGGACCTCTTGCGTCCATGTTCCATGGATAACCTGGGGCCTTCCACCAGAACTCAACGATTAGATTAAACTCAACCTTTAAACCTTTTGATGAAACAAATTTTAAACCTTTACTTTGTTCTTATCAAATTTATCTAGAACTAGCTTGTTTGGTATATTCAAGTTATTAAAACTGAGTTTGTGCCAGATGTCTGCAAGCTCATTGTGATGGAAATGAATAACAATGCCACTTACCAAGAATAGAGGAGCTATCAGAGTATGGATAACCTGGGTTCTCCTGAGCCTGCCCTGGCAATAGGCCACTGGAAGGAATGTCTGGAGTCCCTCCATTTAAAATCTACAAACAAAAGAGGTTTGCACGTCACCAACAGTTTCAGTAAGTCTCATATGCAGTGTCACCAAGAAAATGAAGCTTGTTGAAATTGAAAGGAGGAAGGTGGGGGTCGGGGTGGGGAGCTTCAAATGGCTTCAGTGTCCTATTAGGTTAATTCAAACAAGAAACTGTTAAGAATGGTTACAGTAAGGGAAAAAGACTCTCCCCAAAACTATTCTTTTCTCTTCATTAGGTTCGGCCAACGCAGGCAATTTAAAGGCTGAATAAAATCCCTAGAGCATTTGGTCACCTTGGATCATGCTCACAAGGCCAAGGACTAAACCTTAATGAGCCTGGCCAGGCAGTTCCCCTATAAGGGAGTAAAACTTACCGCAACAAATGTTGCTGAGGAAGAAATAGGGCTTGTTAACAAACTGAAGAGAGACAACTCTGAGTCACAAATGAACAACAAAACACTAGAAGTAAATTTCTCACCAGTTACATTACAGGTGCCAACTTCAGTAACCAGTGGTTAAAGTTCTTAAGATAGGCCACTGAGAGGCATTATCGTCATTCTTCAATAGCAGAACTCTCCTGTCTGCTCCCAGCCTCCTTCCCCTGGCTGAGTCTCATTATAGAAAAGAGTCTTTAAGAAGCATTTGGATGTAGGTAAGGAAACTGGTAGCTGCTTGGATTTTGGGAGAGGTAGTAATTTCAGTCCTGGCCAGTAGGTGGCATTGCAACTATCTCTACAGTTCAAGACTGAGGACTTCAAAGAACTTGTTTCTGTAGGCTATATTTATCAATATTTACTAATTGGAAGTTAAAACTAACAAATTTTAAAAATATAATAAATCTACTAACACAAATAGCATTTTAATGAAAAATACCTATTTTCCAAAACAACAAAAAAATTAGGTCATTGTTTTACATTTTTTAAAAATCAAATATCTGCCTTTGAATCTAACTGGATTCTCATATTTGCTTTTCCATTTAGTCTGTATAGATATGTTGTTTGATTGTAGTATATGAAAGAAATCTGGTCTCCCATAGACATGTAGTCGGAAAAGGGATGTATATTTTAATTGCTTTTTCAAATAATTGTGGTATTTGATATTACATCGAAACTCAGCAAGTGGAAATTTCTCAAAAGGTTAGCTACAGTGTGGAATCAAACCATTATCAATGAAATTTTTGTACTGTTATGTTAAAATTCATTGGTATACCTTGGCACTTAGCATGGACCTTTTTACTTCCGTAGGATTTTAAATCATCTTACACTGGTCATTTGGAAAATATTGGCTGTGGTGTTATTCAGATCTTCCAAATGTTGACATATTTCATTACAAAACATCACCACTGTTAATAAATATTACCTGTGTCATCAGAAATATATTTTAAGTTTCAGAAAGCTGTTGAGCTCAAAGGAGCACAAGTTTTGCAAGAATTCTAAATTTTGCTTGAAAGCTACTGGGTTGTCGGAAAAGTCATGATGCATTTTTGCAACAAAAAAGATGGAAAAAACACGTCATGACTTTTCTGACAACCCAATAAAATTTTATCATTGGCAACAAATACTGTCAGTTGTTTTCCTTGAAGTCACACATTCATTTCATTCATTTTCAAGAAAATGTACGCTAAATACCCAAGCCTGAATAGCTATGGTTTGCAATAGTAAAAATGGTGTCCTATGAAAAAAGCAGTTCGCTCAGCTTATCAACAGTCACACAAGAGCTCTTCTTGAGATAATCCGACTTCGATACTCAGCACCAGCGCTGTATGCATACTGCCCATTTTGTAACAGTATTAGAAAGATTTACTCAAAGAGTTTTTTTTTTAATAAAAGCAGTTCTTTTTACTGCTTCATTAAGGACATTCTTAAATGAAACCGTCTTTAAAATTTTTATTGCGAGTATATGGCGGTGAAAAACACGACTACTAGTACAGTTTGGTGCCACTGACCTGATTTTTGCAAAAACACCGGCAGTTTTACCCAACATTATTTTTGTAGTATTGGTTCACATATCAACACTGAGAAAAATAATGTTCTAGCATTATTATGAAAATAGTTTGGACTTCGCAGAGCCCTGAAAGGATCTTGGTCCCCCTCCCCTCCCAAAAACCCAAAAAGACCACCGACAGCATTTAGGGAACTGCTGCTGTATTTGAACCTGCCTTAGTGCCTCTGGATGTCCAGGCTCTCCCGCACCCCATGAGGCTCACCTAGCCTCCCCCTTTCAGCTTAACCCTGACTGAAACAACTGGTAGACTAAATAGCTCATGTTTGGATCTGCCACATTTGAAAGTGCCCAGGAAGGGCTGGAAGCATTGTGGCTTTGGTGTATTGTTTAATGCTGCTGTCATGTTTAACTCCATCTTGTTTAGACTGGTCTTATAAATCCTGCTGCTAAGGACTCAAGAGAATACATTCAGAATTTCTTCTCCCAGACCCACTTTTATAAGTCCAAAGAAAAGGAAAATTTTTTCACAAATGCTTCAGAAATTCTTGGGGCTTTGTAATGCAGAGGACACTCTTACATCTCCGGCAGTTGTTGGTGTCAAAAGAATCAGAAGTCAGAGAGACTGGAATTTAGTTTGGAACCATACTTAGTAACAAATGCTGGGCTAATCATTTAACACCTGGGAGCCTGGATTTTGTCTCCCTATAAAGTTGTGAGGATGAGAGAACATACATGAAAGTTCCCCGAGTAATATTTAAGCATTATACTGGAGTGTAACCTTACAAAACAGAATAGTAGGATTCTTGGTAATACCAGGAAATCAAGTGCCTAAAAGTTGAATTGAGAACTAGAGAAGCGGAGACCACCCTAAGGAGACAGTGGATCTAATATGGAGGAAGGACCTAGGGGTGTAAGAATAGAGCTAAGAGCACAGGCTACGGCAGGAAGTGGAGGGGTGTACATGGCCCAGACCATCTATCGATGCTATTTTCTGAGTCATTAACAAAGGCCTGGCACGTTCACATATTATCTCATAATGGTAGTTCATATGCAAAGATGCTGGCTGTCCCAACCTGTATGAGCGCCATTATAAAGGAAACGGGGGCTTAAAAATTGTACAGGATCAGAGCTAGCACATGGCAAAGCCAGGCTTCAAACCCAACCAAGTCTATCTTACTTTGACCATGCTCTTACTCATTAATCTACTGACTTTGAAACCTTTTGTGGGAGGAGCAAAACCTTAATTCAAGCAGAAACTTTTACAGAAGTTCATATATAAAAAAGAAGTAAAGCTGACCTGGTAGAAGCAGGAATCCTGACCTTCCTCTTCCTTCTCACCAGCTGACTTGCCCCATCCCACCTGGTGGCACCACAGCTCCTGGTAACCTGAGCCTCTGAACAGCCCAGGTTTGAAAACCTTTGTCCTGCTTTTGATACAGTTTGTGCCCTAGGAGTCCCATCTATGTAAATCACTGATTTCCTTTCTCTCTGTGTTTGTTTTGGGACATAGGAGAAGGAAGCTTTTATGTATAAAGATGCTGGCCCTTGGGACATCCTAAACTATATCACCAGCAGGCACTGTAAAGATATTTATGAGTTACAGTCAACATGGGCCTAGACTTGTAAATTCTCTGGCAAAAATGAAAGCGATGAGTGGTTTCTAAGCCCATTTATAGTGTAGTCTTCCCGCTAGCTTCTTCATGAAAGCTGACGATTGATAAACTACTTGTGCCCATGCTGTCACATCACAGGAAACCCAGGCGGTAGATCCCCAAGAACTCTGCAACTGCAAAAGCATGGCTTGCCTTCCAAAGCACCGCTGTTTCCACATCTGCACTAGACACTAATGATATTTTCTCCCTTGCAAACGGGCAGAGAACTAGGTAGTTTTCTGTGTGTAGTACTTACTAATCCTTCTCCCACGGGAGCTTGTGAATTGTTCCCCCAATGCAATGGACTGATGGCTCCCCATTCCTTAATCTCTTCCTGCCTTTCCCCACTCACGTGGAATGAACCCCCTAAGGATGTCAGCCAGCCACCTAGTTCTTTAACTATGCTCTGTACCTAGCCTCACCCAGATGCATTTCCTTCAAGGAGGAAAAAAGGTCCACGTGTTTCAGCAACCACAATTGTAATTATATACCGTCACCCCAACATTTCAGAACTTGGGCAAGATGCTCCCCAGATTAAGACGGGCCTCGGTCTAAGAGTCATCAGCCTTACCTTCTTGCCTCCTGGAGAAGAGGCATCAGGGGGAGGTGTACTTGTGATGTTCAGTGGGCTGGAGCCACAGCTGGAAGGTGATGACCCTCTTATCCTGTCAAGAGAGAAGAGGGGTCAGTTACATTCCTTTCCTTTTTTTCAGTGGCATGTGTGTGTGTTGTTGAGGGATGGGGGTGAGAAAAAGGATGAAGATCTAGAATAGGGATTGGCAAACTTGTTCTGTAAGGAGCCAGACAGTAACTACTTTGTCACAATGACTTGACTCTGCCATTGGAGCTTGAAAGCAGCCATAGACAATGCGTAAATGATGGGTGTAGCTGTGTCCAATAAAACTTGATTTACAAAAACAGGTGGTGAACTGGATTTATGCCATAGGCACCTGATCTGAAATGCAGGCCCTGGAGTCAGGCATCTCACTGACAAAGCCCTTGGATTAGGGTCTGGATTGCAGGTTCGAATTTCAAGGAAGTGGCCAGTTTCATTTCCTCACAGAATCCAGATATCATAGTTGGAGGAGACTTTAGAAGTTCAGCCTCTATGTTTGATACCATGAACTAGAATCCACAGCAAATAATTTATCCTCTTCTCTACAAACACTGTTAAGCTAGTGAATGCTCTTAGGAAATGAAGGCTCGGTCACACCTGGAAAGTAGCTGTGCAGTAACAGTATTAATAGTAGTAATCGTCTAGTCATCATCTTCTCAGGCACCAGGTGATTAAAAATGGGTCCGGGCCCTTCTCAGCTAGCATATTTCTCAGCATAGTAGGTTTACATGATAGACTTAGAACTGTAAATCCACATAAACCTGTCAGGCTGAAGGACTTCAGGAAAGGAAGCCATGGCCTGGCACCGAAGCTAGAGTTTAGATAGAGTACAGTGGCAGCTGTGTGGCCGCCAGACGCTTAGTTCCTACATGGATGAATGCAGCTTTCGGGTGCCCCGGGGACCCCTCCACTGCCCAGCAGTCTTTTGGCTCTTGGCCTGTACTGCCTAGTTCTGTAGATTTGCGATTGAACAAACTTGCTCTCTCCCAGGTCATAAGCTCTTCAATGGCAGGATACAGCTACCTACTGTGCACTCAGCACACACAGATGACTACTAACTAACTGCTGACTGAAAAGTTGCTGAATGTCTGCCACCTCGCCTTACATCTATGAAACCACTTATTTTCCCAGACTCCCCATCTTGGAATTGCCTTTTCATTGTTTCTTATCTTCAAGTCCTTAAATTACCGAGTCCTCTTTTGGATAAAATCACTGGAGGATGGGCCTCCTTCCTGGGTTAAGGCATGCTCACCTTCATCTCTTCCTATTTCAAGCCTGCTTTCAAACACATTTGGATACCTGGTCAGCATCGTACAATGAAGGGGGTCTTAACAATTTTCTTCCAGTCTAAACTGCTCAGCATCATTTCTTAGGATTCTTAGCCTTCTCCCATCATAGCTCTGTGACCCCTTCTTCCTACAAGAGGCTTTCTTCCCAGTTAGGTGGCCTGCCTCTTGGCCACCCGGAATATGCCACTCACATGCCCACTGCAGCATGCACCTGTATTTTCTAGAACAAATGCCCACTTTCCTCACAAACCCGAGTTTGGACCAAGTTCAAACCCTTCCTCCCTTGCTGGCTTCAGCTCACGTACTCTCCCTTTTTTCTATTATCATAAAATAGACTTCTCAGAGATTGTAAGATCCTTGGGGGGGTCTCGAGCAAAGCACAGGGAGTGCAGTGGCTGCTAAAAACCTGATTATCACGGCACACGCCCCCCACATCTCTTTCCTGAAGTAGACTCCAGCAGTCACGTCCATCATTCCTGTGCAGTTGGAACAGAACTGCTACCCACTGGGATAAGAGCCCCCTATGGCCAACTGGAAAATAAGTCCAGCCTCCAATGCTGACAGAATCCAGTGGCAGCAAGAACAGCAGTCACTGGCCCTTTTCCTATGGTTATGTTCCATTAAGTCTGCATTCCTCAGGGCCTGCTCCATGCCCCTCCCCACTCCCCAAATTCAAATGGACTTAGAAGAACTACTTCCCTCTCAATGACGCCTCTTAAAGACTTAGATTTGATTAATAATTTTTGAGCACTCACTATATGAACTTTCCTGAGTTCACTCACAATCCTAAAGCAATCCTTGGGAGATAGATATTGCCTCCCTTTTAGGGCTTAAGTCAACAGAGACCAAGGAGGTCAGTGAATCTCCTAAGCAGAGCCACGTAGAGGCCGAACCGGAACGCTGGTAAACTGCTTCCCTTCTCTTTCATATCGAAGTCCCGCCCAAGGGAGCTATTACTAGCTGATGTGTGTGGTCTCTGTTACAGCCCTTGGCAGCTTCTTGATTGAAAGAGGCTAATGCTTTGTTAAGGCCCAGATCTCTGGCAGTTCACAGCTCTACTCCTGTTGTCCTGTAATCCTGTAATCAGTCAGTGTTCATCCATCCTCACTGGGACGCTCCTTGAGTCACATACAAGGTCATAAGCAAGTTGATCCTCCTCACAAGTTCCGTTTAGCTCTGGACTGTTTGGGTTTAGCCTCTATTGAAGGCAGGATTTCTCAATCTCGGTACTATCGACATTTTGGACTGGACATTTTTTTGTTGGGGTGGGGCGGGGAGGAGGCTGTCCTGTGTACTGTAGGAAGTTTAGCAAGCAGCATCCCTGGTCTCTATCCAGGGAGGCTAAGCAGCAACCACCCACCCAGTTGTGACAACTAAAAATGTCTCCAAACATCACAAAACGTCCGGCGTTGGCGGGGTGGGGGTGGGGATGCCCTGGGCTGAGAACCACCGGTTTAAGGGAACAACTGGAGATATTACTTGCCTGTGGATTTCCATGATTTCCTCAGCAATCATTCTACCTATTTTTCCAGCCCCAGCCCTGGTTCCCCCTGGAATCCCTGGAACGGTGGGGTGGGTCCTCTTGGGTCCACCTACAACAAAGAAACCTGAGAGTGAGAAGGGGGAAGACTGAGGAAGAAATGCTATTAGGTGTTCAAACCAGTTCATCCCATCATCCACTTGAAGTTCAACCTTAGGGTTATGCCTTGAGAGACCTCAGAGCCATAGCTTGGCAGGAAAAGGCTCAGGTTTCCTTCCAGGGTCAGAGGCCAAAGGGTTGGCATGAAGCATCTAGTTGATACGATGGAGTACCACTGTGCCGCACAGAGACAGTCAGCATCCCTGTCCTCAGGGAGCTCACAGTCTAACAGGGAGACAGACAAAATGGATGATGGCTGGAGCAAGGTGGGATCAGCTTGACAGGGAAGTAGAAGGCAAAAACTCATCCAGGGCGAGGTGCGGCTTCCTGGAAGAGTTTAACTCTGAGCAGAGTCTTGACAGAGGAGTATAAATTAGCCTGGCAGAGAGGTAAGGAAGAGAAAGCATTCCAGGCACAGCAGCCAATATATGCGAGAGCACAGAGGCAAGACAAAACTTGGGGACTGCTCCAAGAAATTTGACATGAATGATGATGGAGCAGTGAGGCTGGTACCAATCCGATGATGAAGGGCCTTAGATGCCACACTAACAGATGTCGACAGGAGGTAAGGGGTCCCAAAGGCCTTTACACAGAAAAGGCACTGACTTCAATTTGGGTTATTAGAAAGGCCACTGCGTGGAGAATGAAGTATAGTGGAGGACGAGGGCGAGACTGGGGTCAGGAGGTTGTCTCCCATCACCCAGGCAACACATGCGGAGAGCCAAGTAGCATCAGTAGTGATGGAGAGGTTTAAGAGACAGAAGGGACAGGATTTCATGTTTAGATATAATGTGGGAAAGGTAGGAGTCAAGGTTCCCGGCTTAACCAACCAGATGGGGGAGCGCAGAGAATCCATTTGGATGCATTGAATTTCAGGTGCCTTTGGGGCTCCAGGTGGTTCTTTCCGGGGTGCAGGTGGAAAGACAGATCTGGAGCTCAGGAGAGAGGCCGGCTGTAGGAGTCCTCCATGGAGAGGGGTGGGGACTGAAACCATGCAAGCAGGGGTGATCCCGAAGGAGGACACATTGAGTGCAGAGAGCAGGGGTCAAGGCCGAGCCCTGGAAGGGAGCCCCACTGGGGATGGCACACACCCCAGTGCTGACAGACACCCTCTTCCCACTGCAGGAACCAGTGACAGTCATCAAAGAGCCCTTCACATCCCAGCCACTGGGCGACACAAAGGGAGGAAAAGCACAAGAGAAGCAAGGAGTTTGCTATGTGAAGGGCTTCCAGGGGGTCCAGGCAGTCTCAGGAAAGGCAAAAAACGAGTTCCCGGTATTCCAGGCTCACCAGCCAAAGGGAGGTGACTGAGTCCTTAGTGCTTATACCCTCGAGGCCTCCCGTGTTCCACAGAACATGGTGGCTTGGGACCCCGAATCCTTGGGGGGAGGGCCTGTTGGCTGTAAGCAGCTTCTCATGGGCAAGCCTTGATACCCCGGCCATGCACAGTTACCTTCTCCAGAGGTCAGCATGCTGTCCATGCTGTGCGGGGACGCTGTGAGCTGCAGGAAGGTTGGGTCCCCGCCGTCCAGGACGTTGGCTCTGTGAACATCCCAGCAATAAGGAAACGTGAGTCAGGCCTGCTCAGAATCGTGCACCTTTCACCTTGGCCAAGGTGTCCGGTGTCCACTCTGGACCTGGACAGGCCAGAAAATGAAGTGTCTGTCTGAGTGGCTCAGCAGGTCTATCACTGTTTGATAACGCGATGGCCAGCATTCCGGCCTGTGCGTGGCCTCCTGCCTGCCTGGGCCTCCCTAGTTCATGTGGGGTGCAGTCCAGCAGAGGATGACGGCGGCAGCCCACTGCCTCTGCTACTGGGCCTCCTCTCCTGCCGGCCTGCAGCGCACCCAGCCCTGCCCCTCCCTCAGCTCTACCCACAGGTAGGGGTCCGGACAGGTGGGGAGCAGGCCTGGCCAAAGAGGAGGTCCTTCCCGTCCCTGCTCACCTAGCAGGTGGCAGCTTTTGAGGTGGCATTCCAGCTGCCAGTGCTCGGGGCACCAGCCTGGTAGGCATGGATACCCACCCATCCTCAGCCGAGGCCAGTGTGAGCTGATGCCTGAGTGAGCCTTTCATGGGTTGCCAACCCTTCCCTCCAGAGAACAGCGGATGCCCAGTGTGCAAGGCCTGAGAAGTCAGAGGCTGACGGCTTTATCGGGAAGGAAATGCTGTTTCCTGGAGCAATTCCACAAGCGGGGGCCTGCATGGCATGAGAACTGAAGCTTGTCCTGTGTTAACAGCCCTTCTGGCCCCTGCCACTCCGGAGGCTCCCCAGGCTATTAGCAAGGTGGCATTAAATGACGTGATACTGGCTGTTGCCTGCACCCCCTTTCCCAGGTAAGGGGCCCAAGGCATGTCTCTTGAAGCGAGGGGACTTCTCATGATAGGAAAACCACTTACAGGACAACAGTGTTGGTTGAGACAATGTATTCTACTTCCTTGGTCCAAGGGTTCATGAAACTGAACCATCGACTCCGCAGTGTGATGAAAGAACCATCTTTGATTTTAAACTTATAGCAGTTGGTTGTAATCTTTTCTCTCGTCTGTAAAACTGAAAATGCAAAGAAGCGTGAACATCCTCGTTTCCTCAGACCAGTGCATTAAGCTCACCAAATCCTAAGTGCGCCCAGGCCCCAATGCCATCCCTCTTCAATAAGCCGAGGGCGCTGGCACTTCGGAGGCCGGATTGTTTCTGATTCAGAGCCTTTCCATTCATTTGTGAATCTGCCCCTATTTTCCAGAGTGTATGAAATGAAGGCGCCTGACTGCATTACAGACATCCAGCTGGAATCAGCTATGAAGCGACTACCCACAAACCAGAAGGCACTGTCCAAAGCCTGAGGGCAGCGCGGCATTTTTAGGACTTTCACCTACTCAAATCTATTCTTTTATGTAACAAACATGTCACAAGCACCTTTCGTGTGCTCTGGGGACAGGAGACAGGATATGACCCCTGTCCTCAGGACAGGAATGAGAGGCAGTTCTGCAGAGGAGGAGATCAGAGCCTCTGAGGGAGTGAGGAACAGCAGAGGTGCCTGAGCAGTGGCAGGGCCTGGGGCGGGGGGCAGGGAACAGCGAGATGGTCAGTGTGGCTGGAGCGTAGGGCCTCTGCAAGCAGGGAGGTGGGGTGAAGCTGAGGCGGTGGGCCGGGGCCAATCAAAGACATCTGGGCTGAGTCTGAGGGCAGGCTTTAAGCAGGGACAGGACATCAGGCGCGTTCTCTCGGGGCGTAAATGGGATAACTATGGAAGACAGAAGATGGACTGGGGCAGAAGGGAGCAGGGAGGCCTGTTAGGAGTCTACCACAATTAGGAGGTGGGCACAAGGGCCTGAACCAGGACAGTGGAGGTGGCACAAAGGGTCCTCTTTGGAAATGCACATCTGAGGTGAATGAACTGGTCTCGGGGATGATGAAATAAAGGAAGGGGTCAATACTGGTTTCCCTCTGAGGAGGCTCTATGTATGGCCGTGCCATTAATCAAGAGAAAAATACAGGAGGAGGCAGTACAGGATTTTATGGAAAAGAGGATCAGACCCATTTGGGCCATATTACATCTTTACGGGGTCTAGGTAAACCTGAACAAGAGCCGCCTTCCAGAAACTGCCCTGGCCTATGTACAGAGCACTGCTAGGCAGTCAGGGTGGGTTGTCTGTGAGGGGACAGATAGGGCTTGGACATCGGCTTCCTCTCCTCACAGATGTTTCTGCCTCAAGCCTCCTGGGCTGGCCAACTCCCACGTCACTGGGGGCAGATTTCTCTGGAAGGTTCCAGGGACTAGCCTAGAAGCAGGGGGACACTTTAAACTTAAGACCCTTTGTACAGCCCAGCTTACCTTGCCTATGACATTCTGCAAGATGTCCTATGTCATCTTGGTGAAAATATTCATAACATGATGTGCCTAGAAGTTCTTGTGGTAAATATGCCAAAATAGCTGTTGCCCTAAAAGGGAATATTAAAAAAAAAAAAATCCATTCAGACGATTAACAGTATCTCTGCAATGGATGAACCCTGCTACAGTCAATGAGAACAAGGTCAAAGCTGGGTGGGTTTCCAGAGGGCCTACTATGTGGATATATATTTGTACTGGGGTTTAGAGTTCTAAACTAATACCTTGTTTGCAAGCATAATTTGTTCTGGAAACAAACTACTCGTATTGCAAGACATCACTTCGTTTACCACATTAAAATGTATTAGAAATGTTTGCTCGTCTTGCGGAATACTCACAACCCACGCTACTCGCAATCCAAGGTTGTACTGCATTTGTTTCATGCAATTGAATTAAACTAAGGCTATAAAAACAGAGGGAAAGAAAGCAAATCAGCCTTTCAAGGGGATTGTTATCATAAGAAATCTAATTTTAGGACATTTAAAAATGGTAACTATATTACAATAGTTAGATAAAAATGTGGTAGAACTCTAAACCCCAGTACAAAACTCCTCCATTTACTGCCTACATTTTTTCAGGGTAACCAAACTGCAGAAGCTCCACCAGCAGGGGCCACGAGAACCTTGAAAAATGGCTGTCTTCTATTCCAACATTTAGTGACTAGTTCTAGTAGCCAGAAAAATTATTAGCCTGTGAATATTCTCAAGGAGGCAGCAGAGAGCAGTGGAAAGCTGCGACATCTGGGTTCTTAGCCCAGGTCTACGACCAATTAGTGTGATGCCTGGAGGAGGCCAGTCTTCAGGTGGGGCCTCGGCTCTTCACCCATAAAACATGCGATTGGACGAGGTCAGCGATGTCCAACAGGACTTGCTGCGATGATGGAAATGTTCTATGTGTGTGCTACATGTGGCTACTGAGTACCTGAAATGTGGCTCATGAGCCTGAGGAATTTAACTTTTAAGTTTAATTGATTACATTTAAACGTGAACAGCCATATGAGATTACCACAGCCAGTGACTGCTGTATGGGATGGCTCAGGACTGGATAATCTTTTTCAAGTCCCACATTCCAGAATTCCAATCTCAGTAATGGTCCTGGAACCACATTCCATACATTCAGATAGCATGCTATGCCTACTATTTCTCTCTGGGCTAGGGACGTCAAACCACCCTACTAACTGTCTCTACATGCCAAAGAATGTCACAGATAAGATCTCCGTATTTATGATGATGATAGTCTTATGGGTCTCTTTTTTTTTAGCAGAGATTCCCATCACTTCCCTCTCTTTTTATTCTGAGAAAAGCCAGCTGACAGCCAAGTCTTCTCTGCTTTACTCAGAGTTGAAAATCCCCTACCATTGTTATTGTTCAAAGGTAACACACAAGACTCTTACCTCTGGTCTACAAAAACAAACTTCCCATCTATTGCATGCCGAGAAACATATTCCATCGACTTCACCCTGATCTCCCCGTTCACCGGCTGTGGAACCACGTGAGAGTGCAGTCGTCCTATTGCGACGAGGCAGCTGAGGTTACACCCTTCGTTGTCTGGTTCATTGTCTTCATCCAGCCCCATCTTTGTGGGTGGCCAGCTTTTCAAATAGCCTGTGCTGTGGATTGTGCAGAAGCTTTTTCGATCTGCTAGAAAGCAAAGTCCATGGTTAGTGTCAGTGTGGCTTTGGGGTATGGAGGCATGGGCTGGGATATAAGTACGGAGTCAAAAAATTACAAACAAAGCCTTACTCTCAAGAAGTGAGCATCCAGCAAGAGAGGACAGAAAAATAGCTATCGGTGTTACCTGTGCTTAACAGGAGTATCTACTGTAAATCTACCTGGGGAAAGGAAGGCTGTCCAGAAAAACAAAGGAGGAGGTGGATCAAGAAGGATGCACGCTGGCTAATGTGCAAAGGTTGAGGAGGCGCCGAAACATATTTCGTACCAGAAACGGCAGAGAGCTCTGTGCAGCTGAAGTGAAAGGGAGGTGACTGAGGTAGGCCTGGAAAGGCAGGCTGGGGCAGACTGCAGGGGCCTTGGATCGTTTGCTAACTGTTGTGTTAGCCTTTTTCTGAGAGGAAATGGAGAGCTTCCAGAGGTAGGTTAAGTGCGGAAACAGCGAAATCAAATCAGGGTTTGGATGCTCTGAAGCGGAGCGATAGGTGAACTGGAAGAGAGTGAAACCCGGGAGGAGGACTGCACTCAGGCTGTGCAGCGAGGGGGAGGAGGAGGGAGGGAAGGAGGCAGGAGCAGGTTCTGAGAACTGTTAGGATTTGGTGTGACGGCCCTGGTATTCAGCACGAAAGAAAGAAAATGAAGGTGACTCCAACATTTTTGGATTGAGTGGTTGCTGGTACAGTTCACTCACTCAAGGAAGAGAGTATGTTTTAGAGAGAGGGAGAAAGATTTCACTTTGGGACATATTAAGCAGGGAGTACCTTTGGATTCCAATAATAAACAAATCCTTACTGAGTGTTTACCAAGCACCACGTCTGTGCAAGTTACTAGGAAAATGTGGAAAACCAGTCACATTGAGGATGTTGAACTTTTCTTCAGGAGCAATGGGAAACTGAAGGGTTTTAAAAAGGGAATGGATGAAAAGATTTGATTTTAAACAGATCACTCTGGCTGCTGTGTGGAAGGATAGGAGTGTGAGGAGCCTGCTTTACCAGACCTGGGGAGAGCTGAGTGTATCCGGGATCTAGTGACAGTGGGAAATGTGAAGATGGATAAACATAGTTCAGGCAACCTCTGCACAAGGAATTCATCACGGCAGGGCTTCGTAACGGGTGGGGAGGCAGGGGTGAAATGGGGTGAGGGTGCCTCCCAGGCTTCTGGTTGTACAACTAGATGGATGGTGGTTTACATTTTAGTTTACTATTTGTCTTTGCTGCCATTTACATCAAGGAGAAGCTCAAGTGGTTCCTTTTCTATATATCATGTTGGAGATGCCCTTAAAATATTGGGCTGTCAGAAAAGTCATGACGTATTTTTTCTGGTTTTCGTTGCAAAAATGCGTCATGCCTTTTCCGACAACCCAATAGCTAAGCAGGTAGATTTAATAAGCAGTTAATGTATGGATCTGGAGTTCAAAAGAGAAGTCTGGGCTAGAAATATAAACTGGGAAGCTGTTGAAATATAAACAGCATTGAAAGCTAAGGGACTCAAGTAGAGATATAAAAGAGAAGGCGGCCCAGGACAGAAGAGGAGCCAGCAAAAGGAACCAGGACGAGAGCCTGGAGTGACTGAGGGTGGGGGAGACGAGGAAAATGCAGTCTCATGAAATCCTAGGGACGTGAACACTTCAAAATGGAAGAAAAATGAAAAGTGACCATTGCATTTAACGTGAAAGTCGCTGGTGAATTTAGCAAGGGCAATTCTGATGGATTGGTGGGTCACTCAAGAGGCAGTTAGGATTGTGGCTAAGAGTCTTCTTTCCCAAGCACATTAAAAACAACAAACAAACAAAAAAGAAACAACAGAATTTAAGCAGAGGAACCCTTCCCAGGAATCTCTGTCATCATGACAGCACATCAGGGCTTTCCAACGCTCCCTGCTCCCAACTGCCCCGCGTTGCAGGTGGTGGGGATGGTACTGTCGTGGGTGGAGTCCGGGGACCACTGCTCTGGCCAGCGAGCAACCTCTGAGCCAACACCCTGCTGAGAGCGGCCAGTGGACAAAGTAGGCCTCTTCTGTCATAGCATTTTACACAACTGCTAAATGGTTACCTTTTTTCTTGGAGCAGGTGGAGGGGAAATCCTTGTCTTCAACCTTTACTGAAGGCCTGTTACACTTCATCCTACAGAAGAAAGAACGCCGTGCTCCAGAACATAATCGAGATGGCCCAGGGGTTATATCTGTTTTAACTGGAAGTCCAGCTGCAAATCAATACACAAAACGTGATAAACCGAGGGTAGTGTTGTCTGTCAGGAGGGGGAGCGTGACCGTGAAGAAAGCCTTTTCGTTCCTGCCTCACTGTTTTATAACGACGACACGAGAATAGCATTTCTCCTGAGTTTAGGCCTTAAAAGACGCAGTGTTGATACAGGTGTGCTGTCAATCTGCAAATGTCTAGGTCACCTAGAATGCAGCCACTGGATGAATGGATTAGGTGCTCTGGGGGATAAAAAGAAATACAGTGTGGGGTTCCTGTCCAGGAGGAGCTCGAGGCGAGACGGGGAAATGGAAGTTCCCCATGAAAAGATTAGTAATAATACAAGGGGATGTACGACTATGCCAAGTGAATGGCAGAGACAGCCGGTGCTTCCTAGAGGAAAAGAGCTTGGGCTGGGACTCGAAGGATGGGCATGATTTGGGTTCTGAAATGGAAAGGAGGAAGCTGCCTTAAGTCCTCAGTCCAGACCCCCGGGCCCCATTCTAGATCTGTGCTGTCCAGTTTGGTAGCCACTAGCTACATGCAGCTGTTGAGCCCTTGACATGTGGCTATTCTGACTGCAGTGTGCTATAAGTGTGAACGCACGCAGGATTTCAAAGACTTAGTACCAAAAAAAAAAAAAAAAGAATGTAGAAGATCTCATTGTGGATTGATCGGGTTAAATAAAAGATAGTATTAAAATTAATTTCACATTTGTTATGTTTTTAATATGGCTACTGGAAAATTCTAAATTGTGCATGTGGCTCCTACTTGTGATTTGCATTGTTTCCATTAGACCGTGCTGTTCTAGACCCACTGAATGAATCTCTGAGGGAGGAATGTGACTGTGGTCCTGACAGAAACGCGGCTACTGGTCAGTGCAGACACTGTGCTGCAGGTTACGTGTGGGGTAACGCGCACCCCACCGCCCAGCACAGCAGCGACCATTAGGGCTGAGGCCATTGCCTGGGACTCCTCCTGAGGCCCCCCCCCCAACTCCCACATTGCTGCCTCAAGGATCTTCCCCAGAAAGCCCACTGGATCCTGTCCCACCCGGCTCCGGCCCTTCACTGTGTCCCGATGGACAAAGTCTTCGTTTTGCAGCCCTCTCCGTCCCTGCACATTTTGTTCCAGCAGCACCAAGCAGGCCCCACGGCAGGCGTTCCACCTATGCACCCGCACACAAATCATTTCCTCTGCTTTTTTACTCCCTTCATCACCCAGCAAATATTAATTCATCCTTTCAAACCCACCTCAGTTGTCTCCTGCTCGGTGATGCCTGTCCCCACGCCTACAGGAGAATTAATCATCTGTTCTCCATGCCTGGTACTATTCCTATGCCTGTACCTGCTATGCAGAGAGCTAGCTGTCTGCCTCCTTGTCTCCCAGACTATATAGTAAGAGCCTGAAAGGTAGGGACCAAACACCATTCATCGTTTTCTCAACAGATCACTACACGTTGCCAGGGCCAGACTGTAAAGGACAACAGGTACCAGAAACTGCACTTTTAGGAAGAAGAGGAGTGAGTTAATGAAAAGGCTGGCTTAAAGGAGGTTCCTCCAGGGGTATTTCCTTCCAATGATTAAAATCGGGGCTTGGAAGCAGAAAACTAGTTAGGCCATGACTGCTCTGGGCTGAGGTGAATACCAACACATATTGTGCTTACTATGTGCCAGGAACTGTCCCACATGTTTATGTATGTTAGTGTATATGTAGTCCTCACAATAACCCAATGAAATAGATACTATTTTACACATAAGGAAGTTCAGGCACAGAGAGGTTAAGTAACTTGCTCAAAGTCACACAGCTAGTAAATGGTGAAGCCAGGATGTGAACCCAGCAATCTGACTCCAGAGTCTCCACTCTCTTAACTGCTAGAGTGCACAGCCTCCCACTGTACTAATGAGAAGGCTCCTGGGGTCTCACATAGGAGGCACGGGAGGGGATGCAGGAGCAGGAAGCTGGGGGAGAATGTGAACATTGGTTCCACGGCTGTAAGAAGGAAGCCAGGAGGGGGAGCCAAGCTAATGAGGGACCACTTTGGTCAAAGAAATGTCAGATTAATTCACGTTTTCTTACTTTCATGAGGCTGCTTGTATGCAACTGAGATAAACAGAGGTGATTTTTTTTTGGGGGGGAGCAAATCAAACTGGTGTGAGCTCTTTAAATTCAGAAGCATACAAGTGGGACTTTCTAGATTCTGAAAAAAAAAATGCCTAAAAATCAGAAAGAAATCAAAGTAGCTGTTTTACCTCACAGTGAATCTGGACATTGAGTTTTTCTTCTTTACATAAAACCAAAACAACCACAAAGGAATGTGCATAATTCCATTTAGCCAACGATGGCACCTGCGACCCGGCTAAGGGCAGAGGTGGGAACCCAGAGGCTGAGACAGACCCGGGCGCACATTCCGCCATCTTCGCGGGAGCGCTCAGGTCCGCCTGGGCTGTGGAAGAAGCAGCGGCTCTCCCTCTACTCACTTTTTGCATCTATGAGCCGCTCCCGGGGTGCAGTGTCCGAGGAGGAGAGCTGTTCCTTGACTTTGGCGATATCTTTAGGATGCAGGTAGTCAAACAAACTTTGACCAATCAGGTCATTCTGTGGGGATGAAACGTTAAAAATGACAAGTGAACAATGGCATGTGGACTATAAATTATTCAACAAGCGCTCTGCCTTCAGTACTTGTTGGGAAATACAATTCTCCTCATAGCAGCTATGTATACATATATTATCTAGTGATCACAAGGGAAAGTTCAATTAAAGCAATTTCTATTTCAAAGCAGAATTCAGCTTTAGACTTTTCCTTTGATTGTATGAAGGTCCAGAGAATTCATGCTGTAAAATTTTAAGCATGAGAATTCCAAATATTTCATACGTGAATATGTACACTCTGCCAACATATATAGACAATGAACGAGACATCAGGAGTTTGGTTTTGACAACACACAAGGGAAAAGGGGCTCAATTATAGAAATAATTCAGCTGTGTGTATTCCTTTTTATTTATTTATTTCTGATGCCCACAAAGTCCTTCTGCGCCCTGAGGAGGGCAGTGGTAGGGCATGGGCTCTGCCTCTAGCTCCATTAAGTATCTCTGTTTTCTAGCAAGTTGGGTCGTCCCATGTGCCTCAGCAGCCTAATCTGTTAGAGGAGATAATAAAACTTCCTCTATACCTTTCCTGTGAGACAGACCCAAACACTTGGGAAAGCATTCAGTTGACATTAATTCTAATTAATATAAATGTTATTTTGACTCTTCAATTCTTCTGCCTTACCAAGTATTCATGCAAACACCAGCATGTGGAATGAGTGAAGGAATGAATGAGTTGAATGCATAAAAACTCTAGGGATGGGATAGATTAAAAGCTCTGCTCTAGAAGCTTTCATCAGTGTTTATCTTATTTCATCCTACAAATAATCATGAAAGGTATAGATTATTATAATCAGGAAGCTGAGGTTCAACAGAAGTAACGTGACACGTTATTGCAAACCCATCATGGGTGGGTTCCCAATTTCCCTATTGTCTGGTTTTATCTGCCTATCCTTCTTCCTTGTCGACAGCCCCCCTCACCCGCCGCCCCCACCCCATAGTTACAGGGTATTTATTTTTCGGCAATAGGAAAGTTATAGAGCTGTTGCTAAGATCAGAGTCGAACCTTCCAAATGGGGGAAACATGGGACATATTAAAAGATTTTCTAGGTTTAAATTCATTTCTCTGGTTAAGAAGAATTTTCTGGAAGAAGAACTGGGTGGGGGGACATCATAAGCATTTCCACGTGACTGTACCCTATAATTATTCTGAGAAGTGGGGTGAGCGTGGCTGCGTGTGGCGCCCACCAGTGGCAGGAGCATGAGCAATACCTGGCTGTAGTTGAGAATCTTGAAGACAGACTCTGAGACAAAGAGTATCTTCCCTCGGTCACATCCTACGACAAACAAAAATCCATCTGCTGCCTAATCAGGAGAAATGAATAATCAATTTATCACACTTTAAGAAACATGACTTGTAATCACTCTGATCGCAAATATGGATTTGTTTCCTACATATCCAAAGCACAGGGCTGCTCTCACTGACAGTTTCACAGGAGTCCTGAGAACAGGACGCTTACAACAAATGCCGTAGGAGGAAAATACAATTCCCTCCACAGCAGCCATGTACACATATCATCTAACGATCACAAGGGAGAGTCCAATTATAGTACGTTCTATTTCTCGGCAGAATTCAGCTTGAGAATTTTCCTTTGATTGTATGAAGTTCCAGAGAAGTCATATTTTATTGCTTTAATCATAACAACCTTGTAGAATCATAGACTCTGAGGCTGGAAGGATCTTTAAGATCAGACTCCCCTCTCCATGATCTCGGCTGTACTCAACTTGACCACCGTTCACAGGAAGTTCTAGAACAATAGTTCTCAGCATGTGGAGTCACATTTTTGTTTTATGCTGATCATCTGGAGGGGGGCTGTATCACTGGTATTGTTGGAACCTCCGCTGTATCCCCGCTTCTGCCCCGAAGGGATCCTAACGTACACAGGGTTGAGAACTACTGCTCTCCAATATTATCCTTTGACCCCAGGCTGTTTGTTTCTAAGTGAGACAAAAAGAGTAAAGCAAAAAACAGCCCTTAGGTTCTTTTTACCTCTTCTTCACTTTAAATACAAGTAAAAATCTAAAGTGCCCATAAAGACAGGTATAGAGACAGGACGATATGTGTTAGGTAGACTGAAGCAGGTAAGTACCGGACAGCTTACCATATTTCGTCTGTACCTGAATCCTACCCAGATTATTTTCAGATGGACAACCACTTAACTCCTGCTGGGGTCTTCCTACCAACGGAGGGTGCTCCCCACTCTGTCATGTACTCGCTCTCATACTCAGCGCCCCCAATTCCAATGCACAGTGGGTCACTATCTTACTTGATTCACTAGTGCTCAGTCTGCTCTTTGGAAAAACGGAGAAACTCCATTCCCTTTTCCACAAAAGAGCCTTTGGGATATCGTTTTAATTCAAAGAACTAGGAAATGAATTCATGTGCCAGGAGGTTAAGGAATGGTGCCTGCACTTGTGCGGAGATAAAAGAGGTGAGTAAGAAAGGGAACAGGATCACTATTGCTGAGAGAGAACCTGGCAGGCCCTCCCAGCCAGAAGTGAGCTAGGAACAAGTCTCTCTGGAGTCAGGCCTCTAAGTTGGCCCAGGGGCCAGGAATGACGGTGGAGGGGAAGCGACTTTCCAAACACCATCTGCTGGAGCCTCATTCTGTCAAAAAATCAGGTATTAATAACTTCCTCATTTGCCTTGCAGACAATCTTATGTGTAACAAGAGAAGCGTTTTTGAGGCTTTTCACTGAGGAAGTGACGTGGCATAAAAAGTACCTGGGAAGAAGGTGACTGACATCCTGACCTCTGGGAGGAGTCAGGCCTGAACTGACCACACGAGCAAAGCCGATTTCAACACATCCAGGGGCTCCGAAGGCCAGTGAATACAGTCAGTATGAGGGAGGCTCAAAACATCCTGATTCTGCTTTTCTCAGAAGGAGCTGGGGCCAAGGGGACAGCTGGGAACAGAGGTGTGAGGCTACCATGAGCACCACGGGGACACAGGCTCGCTCTCGGGAAGGATGGTGTTAGTAAGTGGTACAGAGCCCTGGGATGGTCCGCCTAGTTTCCACAACATGGGCAAGTAGAATATCTAGACATGACACACCGACCAGGGGGGCGGCTGCCTGACACCATCTATAAAAGACACTTTGAAAGCACTTTGTAAAGTAAGAAATTAGTCAGATTTGCACTGGTACGGAAATGCAGATGTCCAGTTTCTGCTGCCAAATTGTTCAAACACAATCTGACTGTCTCTTGCCTTTTTTGTTGTTGTTGATGCAAATTCCTGGGAACAGGGCACCTGGGAGTTTCAAGGGCTAGGACGGGACTTCACAGCCAGTGAAACGTGCTAGAGAAGGAAGAAAAGTTTCATCGGGGAAGACAGATCACCTTCAGTGGTGTAGGAAACAGAAGAGCAGAAAGACAAGCCCAGGATGAAATATTTAGCTTGAATAGTATTAAAATTGTCGTTTCATACCCTGTAAGGATGGACATCTGATAGGAAATTATTTAGATAAGCAGCAACAAGAAAACTAAGAATTCGTCATTACAAAAGGTGCTTGTTATAATATATACATATCTATATCTACCTACCTATCTATCTATCTATATACATATATATGAATGGGTTTTTTTCCTTAAAAACATCAAATTACCAGTACAGCAATTAAGACCAGGTATGTAATTTGTGAGGCTCAGTATAAAATGAAAATGCAGGGACACTTGTTCAAAAATTAGGATTTTCAAGATGGCGACAGCAGAGAATTAAGCCAATAGCCAGGCCCTGTGTGACTGCATAGGTCACATGCCTGTGAAGTCGGCCCTGGTGCTTTTTCTAGAGATGCAGCAGACATAGTTTATATCTAAACTTCAGCAAGTTCCCCCTGAGAATAAGGACATCTTCTGTAGGAAAAAGGATGGAGAGGCGGGGATAGAGCTGGGTCTGAATAACTGCCCTGAGAGAGATAACCAAGGTACCATCACGAACTTGCTGGGAAACCGTGGCCCTGCCCTAATGCATTTATCAGTGATTGAATGTTTCTAGAATAGTACCCTGCATATACAGTAAATACTCAAAAATGTTTGCTGAATCAGTGAATGAAGGAAAATGAAAGACATAAAGTCACATGAAGCCTCAAAGGATCATTTACAACAAGCTGGAATGTGGGACCATCCAATAAACATATTTTGACAGAGATAAAAAGAAAAGTTCAAAAAAATGAACTGCACCTACACAAGAAAGGAAAAGATCTGGCCTAACAATAATTCATGTACAAGAGCGCTAGCGGTGGGCAGTATGACAGCTGCCCCAAAGGGGCACTAAAGTTGGCTTCTATGGCAAGGGAGGTGCCGGCCCCATTCAACCCCAGGCCAACCGGACCACAGCCGAGGTTCTGTGTTGGGTTGTGAGAGCCACTTCTGGAGGGATGTTTAGCAAACAGAAGTGGTTCTGGAAGGTGTGTGCAGCAAGTGTTGTTGGGGGACCAATTCCTAACACCCTTCGTTCTTGTCTGCCTCTACTCTGGAGGCTGGAAAATCTAAACCCTTGCTGTGCAACCTTTCCTGCAGCTAGGAGTGACCAGATGAATGTTCTCGATAAAGCTCAAGTCCACTACTAGGCTCTTGATATAAAGGACCGCTGGCCTAGAACTTCCCCTGCCTTTTCTGACCATCTGGCTACTCCAACCTGGCAAGGCCATCTTGCTACACTGAGGAGACAAGCTGCCTACGCGCGCAGCACGGCTGTGTGAGAAGGCAGAGGAGCCTGGCTCCTAAGGACCCCACCGGCCCACCGCACTGACCCCTCACAGCCTGCCCCAGTACCCGCTATCCTTGAGAAATGAAACCCTACTTGTTCTGTTCCTTGCAGTTGAAAGCCTTCCAGTTAACACAGCACGTCATGAAGGGATGGATGGAGAATTCTGGAATAAGCAGGCAGGCCAGACTTACGGAGGTCCTGGAGTCAGGCTGAACTGAAAATGGGTAGTGATGATACAGAAATGCCGCTGGACTACCCTCTATCATGAGGCTTTGCAAACATCTGCTCAAAGAAGGGTGCTGAGATTCTACAGGGGCTTTACTTAGCAAGTGAGGTCAACCCCAGCTGTGGGGGATGGGTGGGGGTATCTTTCCTTTTAGTTACATTTTCTATATTTCTTCTTACAATTTGCAAGAAGGCACATTTCTGAATTCTGTTTCTTTCCCTTCAATTTCCAAGTGAATCTCACTCTGCCAGGAGCACGCCTTGAAGTCCTGTGCAGACCTAATTCTGCACGGGGGCCAAGTTCCCAAGGTGCCACCTCAGCTGCCTCCCTGCAGCGTCTAGCAAGATGAATGCAGAGCTGCAATCAAGCAGGTGAAAGCATCACTTCCTCCATTTATTTTCCTCCTTGGATCATAAGTCTTTCGAAGTTTTGTTATTTTGAAGGGATTTTGCTGGAAAGATTTCGGTGGATGTTTTTGTGCTGATAAGAGACAGTCTCAGTTGTGACCAGTTTCAGTCCCTTCCTAAAACCTTCATGCAGAAATGTGATTCTTAACTACCTCCTATTTTTAACAAAATCCTGCCTCTTCTGATTTAAAACCACAATAGCATTGACCTTTCATTTTTGCCTAAGCAGCAGAAGGGGAGGAAGGTCTCGGAAGGAATGTGAAGCTTGTCCAAACAGTAAGATAAAGGTAGAGAGCCAAAAAACAAGCAAGTGGGCCTAAAAATGCTCAGTGTCGAGACTTCAAATTTCCACATGCCAGTACTTAACTCTGAAATGTGTGAAAATAAATGTTGTGCAAAACAATCCCCTAATTGCAACATACCCTGAGAATGAGGTGTTTCAGTTCATCATCCGACAGAAAAGTTGGTTTGTAGTTTGCCTCTGTGTATGGATTAGTGGCACCTGAGGAGGGAAAAAGAGAGTCAGCACACGGTCTACATGCAGACAATGTCTCATTCCACAGCCCTGCCTCAAGCCTTCCAGATGAGGCCTAGTCCCTACCGCCTGGGATTTAATTTTATCCTCTTTTTCCTTAACTGAGACAAGGCAGTTCTGGCTTTGAACAGAATCCTGTAATGTCGAAGAGAATGCCATTGAAAAGGGAACAGTGGTGCCCACAGGAGACTCACAAGCTCGCTTTTGTCACTATAGGGAAAACCGAGAGCTAAAAGAAGGAAGTCAAACATCTGCTTCTGAGAGAAGGCAACTCTGGAAGCCAACACGCCCCTCCTCCCAACATTAAGTGGCTTGTCTAGCAGTCCCTCAAGTCACCATTCTCAGTGTTCCTGGGGATCCCCCAGTCTGCCAGGCCCTGAGTAGATCTATGGTAGGAGGCATTTAATATGAGTTCGTCTTCATCAGTGGTGTGTTAAATGAGCTTGGCAACCTAGAGAAATGCATTACTTTAGGAAATGCAACTCAAGCTCCCGGGACTGAAAGGGAACAGACTTATGTTTAAAATGTTGTCAATAGGCCTCTTTCCGGAGAGCAATAACTTCATAGAGAAAAATGCCAGCAGGGACTTTTGAGCTTCCTTTGCTTGGCCCACTCCAAACTCTTTCGAGTGTACTTTCTTTTCTAATAATAATGGCCCTTGAGCCATTCTCTACACTACTGTTTGGGCCCACTTTTGTTTCTTTTCTTTTCTTTTTTTTTTTTAGCTGAGCCATCCTGCCACCTGTTGGCAGCTCAGTGGCAGCTCAGCTCGGGCCGGGAATCAAACCAGGGAACCTGTTGCTCGGAGCTCAAACTCTTGAGCAAGCTCTTGACCAACTGAGCCACTCGGCCAGCCCTTGTTTCTTTGAAATGTATTTTTTCTCCTAATAAACTCCTTTTCTGCAACTTTTAAAAAAAAAAGAAAAGAAAGAAAAACGCCAGCAGTCAATGACTTGGAATCTGCAGGATGGTTAATAGAATAGTGAAGAACTAAAATGAAACGGGTCCGTAATAGTTCTAAGTACCACGGGGAAGGCGGTTAACAGAACGTGTCTGTGACTTTCACATCCACAAGGCAGATTATTGACCCACATCCCTGCTTTTTATAACTTGAGATCTGCCACTCTTTTCCTTACAGCTTCATTGAAATTATCTTATAATAATTTAATCTCTACCATCTTCACTAATATGAATTTTTAATGCCATTCTCCAAGCATAGGATACAACATTTATATTTTAGAACAACGATCAAAAGTCAGACAAAACCTGCTACTGCCGATTTCTGGTGGCTTTGTAGAAATATAAAAACACAGTTCTTTTACAACACAGGTCAGAGATCTGACTCAGCGCCCACTTTCCAGTTTCCTCAAATAGTCCAAGACGAGCTATGGAAAATTCCAGGAACAGCGTTCACTAAAATGCCTGATATGTTTCAGATTTCTCCCGTGGTTTGGATAAGTCGCTTTCATGTTTCTACCTCAGTTTTCTCACCCTCCCCACACTCAGAAAAGAAGTAAATTACTGACTCCCTCCTAAAGGGTCTATCCGAATTTGGATAATTCCAGGAAGATGAAAATATCATCAGTGTTCATTCCCGACAATAAAACGCAGCAAGAACCATCAACCAGTGACTCACTCTTGAAAGGAGCCGTGACCTCTTAAAAACTGACTTTTCTGTGTCACTAAGAGCACCTACGTTTCTGAAGTTTATAATTGGATGGGTGGGGTCCGGGCACACGCATAGGCAACACGAAACACCAGCGGTGTCCTCTGAGATGCATGTAGCCTGATTATACACACATACAGACGTATGCACAGAACACAGCCTCCATCCTCTGGGGATACAGGACTGCAAAATCACATCTTGACACTCACAGAACCTCAATACTCACTTCATTTGGCACTGTGTCTACTGCTGGAACCTACAGGCATATTACTCAAGGCTACACATTTGCAAGTCGTAAACATTTGCCGTAGGGACTCAGGGGCATTCTAGGCAAGGGCAGTAATATTTGTGGCCTAGGGCACAAAGAACAATAAAGCCCAGGGTCTCACCTCGTAACGTTTTCATGTGCTGAACCGCCATCCTTAGCACAGTAAGTTTATCTAATTTCCTGGACATTGCGTTGCACGTTGGTACCAAAGAAGCCAATTCATCGATGAAACTGTTCATTTTATCCCGGCGCCTCTTTTCAATCTGACTGTGGGCTTCCCTGAACAATATGAACAATGATTTCATACAAGGTAACCGAGCATCAAAGAAACAATGACAAAAAATTAGTTTTAACTCTCTGCAATGTTCATCTGACAAGGCAAATTTAGAATCCGCAGAGTGTTTCAAACTAGCCTTTTCTACTAAAGTCACCCAGAAGTGGCCTCTCTGCCAGGTTGGTATTCGTTTTCTTATGCTTCCCTTATCTTCAGAACTAAGGAGAAAGAATAGAAAACCTGTCTTTTCAAGTAAACTGTATGGTTCATTTCTCCTGCTTTCTTTTGCTCTCCACCTCTGTCAAGTTGGGTTTTAAGATGGGGGTGGAAGGAAAGAGAGGGGGGCTGGAGGTTTCAAAGAGCAGAGTATCCAAAAGAGCCATTAGCAAAGGGTCCCTAAGGTTTGTGGGGAGCCCGCTGTGTGGCCTGTCGGACACTCCCTGATGGAGTCACCAGGTAACTGACGCTGCCATCCTTGGACCAACCACGACTCCACCCAAATACAGCAGATGCTACCTCTGTCCCCAGGAGCTGTCTCCAAGGATGTCACGCTTTTCCCTCCCAGGAGTTGCTGCCTACTGAGGTGGGATGACACTTCCACTGTCACACACTGTCCCTGACTGGTTTGCACCTGCCATTTATGACTGTCCCCCTAAAGAGATGCATCGACAGTGGAAATGGAGTTTGTTGCTGCTGCTGTAGCAACAGAGCCATGGGCCTCCTGCCAAGGCTGTTCTGCTCGAGACAAGCTAGAAGTCACAGGTCAGCTGAACTCTGCAGCCCCTAGTGCTGCATCATGACACAGCTTCAGATGGCCCTGGAGCTAATATTAATAGCAGGAGAGCTGAGGACCCACATGGAAAGGGGTCAGCAAGTGTGGTTGGAGACAGGAAGGACCGAGGGAGAGAATCTATTTAAGGCAGCAGGTATTCCCCATGTCTGTCCATCAGCTGCCACTTGCAATGCAATCAGGACCCCTGTCAGAGGGGGGAGGTGCAGCCCAGGAATTGCAGCAAGGAGCCAGGTCTCCCCTGGGGGGCCCAGGATCAGGAAGGAGTAACTTACTGAAGACTGGGAGAAAAACCTTAGCCATGATTTATTTTCTGCTCCCTCCAAAGTCCCCTTCAGGTTAAACATGCTTAGACAGCAAAGAGTGAAGGCCGGCTCAGTATGGAGAGAGCAAGAGGCAGAGGCCACTTCTAGCTGAGGTCCACTGCCCTCACCTTTATTCCCTAAGGATATGACTGTGTCAAAAAGACTATTACACAGGGACGAGACACACAGAGCCTCCTTGGCTGCACTCTAAGGAACCAGGACAGTTTTACACAGAATGAGGGCCAAAGCTTACCTTGCATTTTTTATCCTTCCTTGGTGCTCTGTGTATTCTAACCTGGGGAGAGAAAAAGCAAAAGATAAAAACACAATCCCCTGGAGATTAATGGCAAAGTTATACCTCTCTGTTTCTTTCCTGTTTAATCCTTGTCATTTCTCTACAATATACAAGGTTGGTGGTTAGTCACATTGGGGGCTGGGGGCTGGAGGGAGACCATCATGAGCCACAGGCTCACAGCCTCCTTGCTTATCCCCAGTCTGGGGTATGGGTAGTTACTGTACTAAGTAATAGAATGTGTAATTATGCAGGGAAAATGGCTATGAGTGCGCTGAAGGTCAAGTGACTAGGTTAACGGTACCTTCCATGAGGGTCATCTTTGTCTGTGTCCATGCTTTCTCTGAAAAAAACAAAAGAGAAAATGACTATTAATAAAGACCTATAAAACACCTTCTTATAATACAGAAGGTTTTCATTTATCCAGAAACCAAACAATGAGAAAGCTCAAATAGTCATAGCATTGATTATTGATGAACAGTAGTCAAACAAACAAAAACAACTTGAGCCTACTATAAAACTCAGACTGGTTTTCCAGATTATAAAAAAAAAAAACCCACAAAATTACATATAGTTTCAATAGAGTTTCCGAATTAACATATATTTTGCCATATTTTGATTGTTTCAAAATTGGGAATACAAAGTATTTATGGAAACTCTTAGTTAACCAGAGAATCTGAATAAATATACCTCATCCCCACCCCGACCATCATTCTGGATAAATGGAGTTTATTCATTTGCAAAACCTACTGAGTATCTAATATACGTGTGCATACATATATACTGGTGTGTGGGGATCAAGCGAGGCAGGGAAATCAAAGTACCAGCAAAAAGGCACTGAGCAGAGTTCTGAGGCAGCTTTCCAAAGGCACTGCTACCCAGTGTTCTGGTTCTCAGCTAGGTGGGAAACCCTGAGGAATTGGGGCGTGGAACCCTGTTTGGCCATAGAGGGTCCTGGGGTCACAACAGGGATCTGTCTCCCTTTAACAGACTCCAGAAATCCAAGTTTCATGGCACCTTGTGTATGGTTCAGTAGAAAATAAACTGAAATCCTCAGAGGAAGGAGTTGCAAATCCTCCTGGGGTCAGCCCACAGCCTTCTCCAGCCTCTAAATTTATCAGGCAGGCACTGGCTGCCACCTGGGCCTTTCTCCTTTATCCAGGAAGAAAGGAGGGATGACGGCCCCTCAAACAACGTAATCTCAAGAACAAAAACAATGTTCTCAGGAGCACTGAATCACATCGTGGGCATTCCAGAACAGTGGTTCCCAACCAGGCGACTTTGATTTCCCCGCAGGCAGAGAGTTTCGCGAGCTAGTCCTAAAGCCCAGAGGAAACCGTCCAGGCCACACGGGAAAATGAAAACGTTCCCTCCCCTTTGGTCTAGACTTGCGTCTGCTCTTTGAGGCCCAGTTAATCATCTCAGGTGAAGAGAAGCTCCACCTGACAGATAAGACCTAAGTACATTAAAATGATAGGGAAAGGGATTATACTTGCTTAATTAATAGGGTCTCATGAACTCCAAAAGATTTGCAAACTGGGATCCATGAGGGAAGCCTGAAGGTCTTAGGTGGTGACAAGGTTGGAAACCACAGATCTAGATAGCAGAGGTCTAATCTTAGAACGTGTCAGTGGTCCATCAGCGCTGGCCAGAGACAAGGGGTCCACAGGAAACATCTCCTGGTCTCTCTGCTGAGGAGTTACTGCTAGGGAAGAACATCCTTCCGGTCTTCACACCCACTCTCCATCCCCTGGGCGTTTGCTCTCTAAATCATCTGGGATAACTTACACATTAATCATAGCATCTCCTAGTGGGCATCTGACCTCCAGCCACTGTGCTCCCCATATTCGACCTGTGAACTTCAGTAGAAAGGACATCTGCGGTAGGGGGGACACCTCCTTGGAGATTGTCCCTCGTTAAACAAAAGAAACCCTCTTAAATGGACATTTGGGTAAGACTCTCTGCAGTTGCCTCAACAAACGTGCCTTTGAACGTTCTACACGGCCTTACTACATGGGTGTTTGTACAGATACAGAAGAGTTGACTGTAAGTGTGAAAGTTTACTTACTCAAAAGAAAAGTCATCAAGTCTAAAAAGAAACAAAAATACTATTTAATATAACAGGTACATACTAATGTCAATAATGTTTAAGGACAACATCCATGTTCCTATACTATTTTCAGAGATGATCTCTACTTACTCATTCCGCAAACATTAATTAAGCAACTGATGTGTTCCTCAGGGAGAGCCCTCAGGCAAGGCTCCCTCTGAAACCACTGAGGTTACATCCACAGACCCAGCCATCTTACTCAAAGGGGCAAAGCAAGGTGAAGGAAAAGGCAAAAAGCAGCACTTGGCTTTGAGGCTCCTTTTTCCCTTGATGCGGGACAATTTGGGGGCGCAGGGGGCAGTAAATGCCTCAACAGTGCTGGAGGCTCTCTCTTGCTTGCAATGCAGGGGTGAGATAAAGAAAAAGACAACTGTGCGGCTACCTGGAGTTGAATCTTTCCTTCCCATCCCTTTCCATAAAGAGGATCCTTCTTCCAGGAGACACAGTAGCTGCCCCTAGATGTCCCATGCCCGTGAACCGACACCACGTTTAACCAGGGGGAGAAGCGCCCAAAGGCCTTACTGGTAGTCGGTGGAGCTGCCTTTCCGTTTGCGGTTGCAATCCACGCCACTGGTGCCGAGGGGGCTGGACAGGAGGTCGGTGGCACCCGGGGACATGAAATCACTGATTGTTGACGAAATGTCCATTCTCTGGTCGGCCATTGGAGGTCTGAAAGTGGCACAAGGAGGGAGGCACAGAGGTGTGGTTTATTTCTGTGTGCCCTTCTAAAGTGGTGGCGGGCTACGGCGGTGCTGTGGAGGGACAGGGTACTTGCTTATAGCACCAATACATCTCTCACCAGCCAATAGGAACAGGGACATGGCAGGAACGAAACGAGCACCGTACTTCCTTTAGGATTTGTTATAGGTAACTTAGGTTCACCCACTCATTTTTGTGATGAAAAGCCCAGAGAAGCTAGGCTAGGGCGTGAAAGAACTAAACCAGAGCCCAAGGCTCGGGGGGTTACAGCCAGTGTGCCTTCCCCTGAGAGGACCGTATGTCCCGGATGTTCTCTGACGGTCCTAATTTCATTTTCTCCCAATCAATAAATCTGGTCAATGAAATAAATGATAGACTCGTTATCTTTGCATTTTTGTTACAACTTTTGTAAAAGTCAGAGGAAAGCAGAAAATAGCTTTTCTCAGAATATAAAGTCCAACTTGGGAGTCAGAAAAACATGACCCCTCTCTTTCGGTGGCCCAGGCAAAGTCTGTCCTGTCTTCCCTGATTATCCTTTTGTACCCAGCATCCCCTGCAAGGGAAACCTTGCATAAATAAAGGCATTGTAAATAAGTTTGCAAAGCATTTTGAGAATTCATATTTTAAAAGCAGAAAGTGAGCTGGCCCCCAAAAGAGGCTGACAAGTACCTTGTAAGGAACTCCAGCTCTACACGAAGTTGAAGAGGGCCGTGTGCCGCCCGCGGTCGGGGGTCCGAGCTCCACACGATGTGACTGAGGCTGTCACTCCTTCTCTCTGGGCCCAAGTTTCCTCATCTGAAAATCAAGAGGTAAGTGTGAGCTCTTGTTTTCACTATTACTATTATGCTCACAGATGAGCGAACCAGGCCCTCATGGTTAGGCGTATGCCAATTTTTCACTTTCACAACCACTGCTGGAATGAACATCTTTCTGCATAGATCTCCATGTATGTGAGCTATTATCTCTTAGTATAAATTTGTTAGAAGTAGGACTGACGGACGGGTCCAGAGGGGACACGTGTATGTGTTGGCACACACTGAAACACTGCTCCAGAAAAGTTCCAATAATTGACATCCCAACAAGAGCTCTTGTCATTCTGAAGGAAAAAAACAAAACCTTACTGTTTTTTACTTGTATTTTTAAATTGCTACAGATGGTGTATTTCTGCGCTATAGGCATTTCTGTTTTCTCTTGTCTTGCTTTTCTGCCATGTTGTCTTCAGTATTGATGGGCCTGCTAACTCATGTTCACCTGGGCGCCTGAGCCTGAACCTGGTGGGGGTAAGACATGCAACAAATTGAGTGCTCTCACACTTTCAATCCACGACCTCTCACCTCAGAGGCCCAGGGCTGCCCAGAAATCCTGCCTGCCCTGCTCCCTTGTTCTCCTACCTTGCTTTTCTCCTCAAACTTCCAACAACTCCTTTATCCTCATGCTTAGCTGATAACCTGGCTAAGTGAGGCAAGTGGCCAGCAACCACAGCTACCAGCCTACCTAGGTGCTGCTGGTTAGGACCCCACACCCAACAGGGGATGACTTGATCCTTTCTCATGACTCAAGGCCATCACTCCAGAAGTTTCTTCCTGCCCCCGATCCTGCATCACCCACTTTCCCCATTTCCTGGATCCTTCTCATTAGGATAAAAACACGCTGCAACAACTGTCATAATGTCGGAAGATGAGGGGACTTTTTTGAACTTCATTCTCCTCCAGTTACTGCCCCATTTCTAATGCCTTTCCTCTTACTCTCTATAAACCAACTCAAATCAGGCTTTTGTCCCCATCATTCCAATAAGACTGCCTCTGTTGTCACCAGTGTCCTCCTCATTGCTAAATCCAGTGGCCGGTTTTCCGTTTCCTTCCTATTTGATCCACTGGCTACCTCTGATAGAACTGGTTCTTCCTCCCAATCGTCTCTTGGCTTCAGAAATGCCACCTTCTCCTGGTTCTCCTACTTCAGTGGCCAGCCACGCCCTTTTTGGTCTCGTCAGCAGGTTCCTCCTCATCTCCCTTGCCTCTAAAAGAGGGTCCCGTGGGTGTCCTTGGACCTCCTCTCTGTCTATACTCATTCCCTAGGAGGTCTGTCTATTTTCATTGCTTCAAATCTATCCATACTATGACAGCTCCCAAATTTACATCTCCAGCTCAAGCCTCTCCCTGAATGCCAAGCTTGTATAACCCACCATCTCCCTGACACCTCCCTCTGAATATACGACAGAGACCTCACACTGAAATGTCCATGACCAAACCCCTGGTTCTCCCCAAGCCAATCCTCTTAGTCACGCCCATGTCAGTAAACAGTATTGCAATCCTTCTGGTTGCTCAGGCCCCAAAACTAGAAGTCACTCCTGATTCATTTCTTTCTTTCACAACCTGCATCCAATCCATCACAAATCCTATCAGCTCAGCATAAAAATGAAATAAAATAAAAATCCAAAATTCAACTACTTCTCCCCTTGTTCCTTTATATTGGGTTGTTGGACAAGTCATGATGTATTTTTTCTATGTTTTTCATTGCAAAAATATTTCAGCTCAAATGTCATTTTATCAAGGAAGCTTCCTTGACTATCCACATACAACCCCTGCCAACCCTCCCTAACCACCCCCACCTAGCTTGCTTAATTTTTTTCCATCGCCCTTATCAAAATTTGGCCTATGGTAACCTATTTCTTTCTTTCCTTACTGGCTGGCCTCTCCATTAGACTATAAGCATCAGAGGAGCAGGGGTTTTGTTTGGCTTACTGCTTGTACCCTTAGTGCCTAGACCACTTCCTAGCACACAGCACTCAATAAATAGATGTTGAATTAAGGAATAAATTTGTATATAGAAATATATTCTTTGTTGTAAATACCTTCCCACCTTTCTGCTTCTTAACTTTGCTTGTGGTATTTGCATGTGATACTACAAGTGACGTTTTAAAAAGCCTTTACTCACCCCAAAATAATAAGAATGTCCTCTTTACTAATATTTTTATAATTTTACCTTTCTCTTTAGCTCTTTAAGCCATTTGGAAATTATTTTCAGTGGACTACCTAATGTTGGAAATTTCTCATTTGCCTCTAATGGACAGACAACTGTCCCAATACCGTCTGTTAGGCCATACATCCTGTTACCGAGCATTGGAGGTGCCACCTTTACTCACTATTTCTGCACTTTCTCTTCTGTTCCTTTGATCTAGTTATTTCTGTTCTAGTGCCACACTGTTTATTATTGTGGCTTTACAATACATTTTAATATCTGGTAGAACAAATCCTTTTCCTCTTTTTACTCTTCATTTTCAGAAATCTCCTGGCTATTCTGGTTTATTCTTCAAGGAGCATTTTATAATAATTTAAGCGCGTTAAAGGCCTTGTGGGGTTGCTGCCATTGTTGTTGTGTTATTACTGACATTCAGAGAAGTAGGCCAGGCATGAGTCCAGAGCCCTCCCCTCAGGGTCTAGGTGGTCCCTTAGGCCTCGGTGTGAGATGGGGTGCCATCTCCAGTCCCCACCCTCTCTTTGTGAACAGCCAGACAATAGCAGGAGGTGGAATATTCCAAGTTTCAGGGCCTAGAAGCCACCACACTTCCTGAAGGAAGAACTACCATAGAAACTGCCAATGGCAGTCAGTTGGGGGAGGGGGAGAGGGAGGGGGGGATACGATGATTTATTACCTGAAGTTACAGTTCTTAAACCTCAGATCCACCCTGGGAGGAATAAGGAGCCACTGGACTTGTTGGTCACCTCAACGCGATTTTCATGTTTTGTAGTTTCCTTTCAGGCAGTCAACTTCTTCCAGAAACCTAGAGTGGGACCCACGGGAAAAGAAAACCCAGACAGGTCACTTTGGGGCAAACAGACTTAAAAAAATCTCTTATTTGCTAAGACAGATGGGGGAGCTAGCTCATGACTCCTAATTACAGGGAGTAGCTGAGCGGCTCACAGTCCCATCTTTTAACAGCTGCCTGTTCAACGAAACTGCAAACACATGAAGGAATCTGGCAGGAGATATTTTCTGTGAACGGCAATGCTTTTTAAATTACTAAACATGGATTCTTGGCACGGCCATCAGAGGAGGAAGACGTAATTTTTATTTTTCATTTCTTCTGCTGGGTCAAGCAATAATAATGAACATTTACTGAGTGTGTACTTTGCATCAGGCACTGTTCTTATTGCATTATGTAGATGAACTCATTTAAACCTGGAAATAACTATGAGGTAGATACCACTGCTATCTTCATTTTACTGCTGAGAAGGCTGAGGTAGAGAGGTGAAGGACCTAGATGAGGTCACACAGCTGGGGCGGAGGGGCTCCTGAAGCTGCACTCACTGCTAAGGACGTCACTCAAACCTTTCCCTCAAGTGAAGTGACCTAAACACCAACAATGAGGAACCATGGAAAATAAGTCTTCAGAAAACATGAAGCCAAAACAAAGTGCCAGCAGAGACAACGCCTTAAATATCTTAGGTTGCTCCCAGAAGTTTTACGAAAATGTCCACGATCCTCAGCACATCTGAGCACACACAAAACTAAGGGAGACATCAATTCTGAAAAGGTGCTCGCTGATGTTAACAATGAGAGCGCTCCCTGCCCATTATAGGCAGGACAGAGGGTGTCCTGTCTGCCCCTGTGTTCCGAATCTGAGAGGAAGAGGCCCTGAAGGAAGACTGGGGTGTCCCCGCCCTCCTGCTCTGCCTTGAGATGGCAGGACTTTGATTTCACATGGGGCTTTACTGACCTTTCCGAAACAAGAATTCCAGTGTTTCACATTCCGCTGGCTAGTTCTTGCCGTCTTTGGACTACTTATTTTTGTCTTGATTATATAGGTCTTCAAATGAATATCCAGGAGTAGAACTGATTTTTGTCCTCTGGAGATACTCCCTGTTGTAGTCCGACTCTGCTAACCCGTCTCTGGGCATGTGCAAACCACCTGACCAGGAATTCTGGACTTCTGGTCCTCAGTTGACACAGCAGGGGCGAATGGACGCAAGTCCCCAGGAAGTGCCGCTGGAGGCAGGCTTCCCATCTCTGATTGCGTCTAAATCCGATTCCCAGTCCAGGTCCCACACTATCCTCCCAGCCCACGAATTAGCAACTTGAGGGCCCACACTGGGCATCCTCCTCTCTCTCCTTCTCACACCCCAGAATCCCCACATAGCCCTCTGGTGGATGGGCCTGGCCATCTCCCTGTCTCCGGGTCATTGCCTCCATCCAGGCTGCTCTCCTCAGCCTCACCCCTGCCTCACTGGGGTCAGAGATAGACAAGCCCTTGCTTAAAACACTTCAATGGCCTCCCTGCTGTGCTCCAAACCTTCCAGATAAAACCCCCAACTCCCTAGCAGGAAACTCCAGCCCAACCCTCCTCATCTGCTGTTGAAAGCTCCCAGACACTGAGCTATTTAAGTTCCCAAGAGCACATGGCCTCAGCTGTGCCCACACTGTTTTCCAGGTGTGGCTTCCTTTAGCCACTCCACCACCTGGTGAACTCCCGCTTCCTTTTCGAGTGCCTTCAGGTGTCACCTCTGAGGAGCAGCCCTCTGGCTCCGCCTTGCCGCTCCCGCCCCGCCCTTCACACCCTCAGCCTCTCTGCTTTCTGCCTGCCCCATCTTACTGTAGGTATCTCCCAGTACCACACCGCACTCCTTCTCTTTCTCACACCTCCCTGAAACTTAGATGAATGTCCTAAATACCAAACTTCGTATGAAATTTCTTATTTTGATCAGTTTTTCCAGTACTCAGATTTACTTTCTGGACATAATAAATGCTAACATGGACTTTGGCACTATGTTTTGCGCAACAAAAATCAGAGGGCCTTTTTTTTATATGCTCGGACAAAGTAAGGAAACTTAATCAGCTGTGGTCATTGTTTTTGGAAAACTGCTTTCTCTCCGAGAAGGTGTTCTTAGATGTGAAACAATAAATGAAACAAAAGGGAAAAAACAACAACAACAACCCTCTTACAGTGCTACGTACTTCCAAAAAATTGGAGCCAAGGGAGAGCGCTCTAAGAAACTGAAGGCAGGAAGGCGCCTACGAGAGGTGCCCTTGCCGAGTGGGGGCTCGGGGCCAGCCCTGGTGCTGCCATCCAAGTGGCACACAGCAAGGATGTTCTTGGGAGAGCCTGGCCTGTGGCCCTGGAGTCGGGGGCCACATGTGTGCCCACCTCTGAGCCAGAGACTTCCAAAGGTGGGAGGGAGGCTCGCTGGATGGCCAGAGAAAGGAAAGCACAAGGATTTGTGCAGTGTGCCTGGGAAGGACTTGGGGGCACCTCCGTCCCACCTCAGCCTCCTCATGCTCCTCGGAGCACAGGGGGAGAAATTTCAGGGGCTCCATGCAAAGGAACCAGGGGACTAGAAGAGGAGCCAGCCCAGGCTGCCCCTGCAACCCATCAACCACTATTAGGTGCCACAAGGAGACACAGCTGATCCTCTGAGCAGAGCAGGGTGAGGCCAATTTGCCCCTTAAGAAACCCCCACGCACCACGCAGCGGTTCTCCACCTGTGGGTCCCGACCCCTTTGGGGGTCGAACAACCTTTTCACAGGGGCTGCCTAAGACCATCAGAAAAAAAGATATTTACATTACGATTCATAACAGTAGCAAAATTACAGTTATAGAGTAGCAATGAAAATAATTTTATGGTTGGGGGTCACCACAACATGAGGAACTGTATTAAAGGGTCGCGGCATTAGGAAGGTTGAGAACCGCTGTTCTACAGGAATCTGACCACATCCAAGACCACGAAATCACAGACTAGGTGTCTCTTGCTGCTTTCCCTCCTCCCTGCCCCAGCACACAGAATGCTGCAAGAAGAGAAAGGGGAGACTGTAGATTATATTAAGGTTCACACCATCAGCTGCCCCTCCCTGTGGGGAGAGCCTGCAGGCTACCCCGGCCAAGCCTGGCCCTGTGACTCTGACTGATGAATGGGAGTGGATGGGACAACTGCAACTTTGAAACAGAACTGTCAGCATGTGTTCTTTGTGCTGAGACCAGCAAATTCCCAGAATAGAGGCTCCTCCTTGAGCCCAGGTCCTGGATGGAGAACAGCGGAGGAAGAAATAAACCCTACTGTAAGCCACTGAGATGCCAAGGTTGGTTGTGGCTAGGGTGACCAAGTCTTCAGTTTGCCTAAGACCTTCCTGTTTTAGCACTGCAAGGCCTGCATCCCAAGAAACTCCTCTGTCCCAGACAAACCAGGACAGCTGGTCACCTAGTTCTTTCTGCTGTGTCAGTCTTCCTAAGCAGCCTGACACAGGCAGGAGAAAAGACATGCAGACTAGGATCCTGGAGCCACAGACCAAGCCTGACCTGGGAGGAGGGAAAGGGAACAGTGGCATTTACACTGGACTAGTTTAATCTTTACAATAACCTAAGCATTCATTATGATCACTACCCCAGTTTTCCAGGTAAGGAATTAAGGATTGAAGAGGCAAAGTCATGTGAAGATGACACAACTAGCAAAGGGGACTGAACCTAGGTGTGTACAGCTCACTATTGGTTCTAACTACCAAACCATCCCCTGGTCCTGCCTCCAAAACCATCCCCACAAAGTAACATACAAAACCCCCAAAATAAGCACTCCTGGGGGAAGGAATGAGGGGAAATGAGGAGAAGCAATCCTGGTTCAGGAAAGCTACAGAAACCGAGCCAACAAGTTGGCTCTGGGCTTCCTGGCAGCCAGGGCAGAGAGGGAAATGCTAGCTTCCAGACAGGCTGGGAAGCATATCAGCTAGTTCACTGGGACAGACTGAGCAAGGAAGAGCATTTGTCGGGAAGGTTCTCTCTGGGAACTGAGCAATTCTGTGCAGAGCGGCTCTGGAGAAACAAGCTTTGTGAAAGAACAGAGGGCATCCCCTTTTTAAAACGGGACCCCAGTGAAAGCCTGTTCCACTCTCTTGCCTCCACCCCAAGCTGTGACAGCTGGATGGTTTTGTTAAGACCTCTTTGTAAAGCCCCAGGATGTCATTGGGTCCATGGCTTTTGATGACGTGGCTTAGTAAAAGGGCACAGCTCAGAAAAATATAGATGATATGAATCAACATCCTTGACTACCCTTGCTAGGAGCTGTACAAAACCCCCAATTTCCCAGGAAGGGCCCCTGTGTGGCCACCTCTGCATCCCCACAAGGACTGGCCCTGGGCACAGCAGTGGTCTGGAGGAACTTTCTCTCCCTCAGAGAGCCAGGGCAGGTGGTCCCGGGCCCATTCTGCGTGTTCTCCACTACGTGGTGCTGGTGCCTGACTCGGGGTTTACTGAGAAGGAATGTGGGGTGGCTCTGGTCTGTTCAGATGGTGGTGGCCTCTGAGCAGAGGCGAGAGGCTGAAAGGGCCCTGTCCCTCCTGAAAGTCCCCCTTGACCCCTATCCTTAATGACAGCCTGTGGAGTGTTTGGTTGCCTTGCTTTGCGAAAGGTAGATTTAAAGAATCTTCACCCAGTGGGCCCAGGTGCCATGCCTGAAGTGACGGATGTTTGCACCAGGACCATTCAGCATGCATTTATCTAGCCCGCAGCGGAAGCCAGGGCACTGGGGACACAGGGGGGCATCAGCTGGCCTTATGTTCTAGATTCCCTCCATCTAGTTGGTAAAGAGATGTGATGGCATAACCCCTGCAACCGGCAGGGCCACACTCACAGTTGTGAGAGCAGTGCATGGCAGGACTCCAGGATATGTCTTCGCCTTTATAAGTGGCAGACATTTTGAAGCCATTACAATAAATTTCCGGCAGGTGGCAGTCAAGTGTTTTAAGGAACGGTTGCCTTTTTTTCTAATGGGGAGGATGTAAGCTACAGGAGCAGAGCAGAAAATAAGTTGCTGCGTGTGTGTGTGTGTGTGTGTGTGTGTGTGTTGACGGGGGGGGGGGGGGGAGTGTGGGTAATGGAATGAGAAGGCATCCGGGAGGGGGTGAGACTTGAATTTGGTGTTGCAGATGTTTGCCTGGTGGACTGCATGGTGAGATTAGGTTCTGAGCAGAGGAGAGCCGTATTTGCAGTGGCTGTCAGGGGTGTGCAGGAGAGCCCTGTTTGTGGCACTTCTGTACCCAGTCCTACTGACAGCTCTAGATGCTTGGGGATCCCGAAATCGGACATAAATCAGGGAGATTGGTTGCCTTTGGAAATACAGGGCTTGGGGGGCCAGTTAAGAGGGTCTCACTGAGTAGGTTAGTGAATTCTGGAGTACTTTGTGAATCAAAACAAGGCAGGTCTTTGTGGAAAAGACCACCTAGTACCATTGATGGAGGACAGTCCACAGCATTCCAGTCTTGGAGGGTTACTGAGGGCTGTTAGAAGGGTTTGTGGGTCTAAATAAGAGTCACAAAACACAGCATGCACTTAGCCCAGTACAGGCGCCCAGTGAGTGAGTGCAGAATGAATGGTCAAAGGGATGCCTTCTCAGACCTTTGCCAAGTCCATCCCTGAAGTACAGGAAGGAGAACAACCTGAGGAACAAGCTAAGGCCCCACTGGGCTTCTTGGGGGGACTCTTGGTCCTGGATGGTGATGTATGGACCACTGATGGGACCGCTGACAGGTGATCAGGATGTGGGGGAGGGGCAAAACAAGCGTCAGAACCACAGCAATGGCGTGGACAAGCAGGTCCAGATTACTCCTTTAACAGGTTTGATTGAAAAAAGACTGCAGAATGACGTGGAGTCTCAGGAAGGACTGAGCCCCTGTAAATATCCAAGAAGGGAACTGATATTACTTAGTGCTTTTAATGCACCGGGTCCTTTATGACACGGTGGTTAGGAGCGTGCTCCCCAGGTTTCATAGCCTCACTCCACTGTGCATCAGTGCCTAGGGTGTAATCTCAGTTCCCACATATGCACGACACTTAACTTCATGTGTCATGGTCTCCTGACCTGCATGATATGGATGATAACATGACCTACCTCAGAGCTGTGGTGGAGAGTAAAGTGCTTAAGATGATGCCTGGCACGTAATAAGCCCAAGTGTTACCTATTTTCTCATTTAACCATCACAACAGCCCTATAGGATGGCTAAGGGCTTGTTCCTGTTTTACAGATAAGAAAATGAAGTTTCAGAGGTGCAGGAACTTGACCAAGGCTGGTGATTTTATAGGAAGGTAGATTTAAACCAGGTGAGTCTTGACTAAAGTCCATTAATCTTCTTTCCCACTACATGGCATGGCCCCTGCACAAAATAAGAAGTGAGCACATTCCATAGGAAGCAGGGATTTAAACATTCTTGAAGCTGGCACTCCTCAAAGGTCTGTCATAGAACACTGGTTAAAATCCCATGGGATTTTAATGATGTTACACGGGAAATGTTATCAATGGCCAAAGAAGAATGGGGAATGCTGGGTTCAACGGTTAGGCTTCTTTTCAGCAGGGCTTCTTGGAAGCTTATACATAAATAACCCTGGAGGGTGAAGGTCCAGGAGCAGTGGAGTCCCCTACTCCCCAGGTGCCCGTCCACACGCCTTGTCTCATCTAACCTGGCAGACAAAGGTTCTGGGGGGTACACTAAGGGAGCCTGCTCTGCAAAACCAGTCGGGACTAAGGATCCCCTCCTGTCCCCTCCCACACTGCCGATTTCCTTGCCAGAAGGTGCTTGGTGTGGCTTGATCATCACACTCTTGGCTCCTCTGAAAGCAGCCTGAGGTCTCAGGTCCCCGTTCCACTTTTTCCTATGAGTGGTCTCTGGCCACCTGCTCTGCCCGGTGCATGACCTCTGCCTCACGCTGCCCTCTGCCTCTCAGCACCCACGTTTTGTTTGCAGCACCCAGGTGCATTCAGTCCACTCCTTGGACTCTGCTCCGAGGGTTTCCCCTCCAGCCTAGACCTGAGGTTTCTCTGCATTACTGGGAAGACGACAATGGAATCTGAAACTGCCAAGAGAGCTCACAGGTGCTGCCTCTCCCTCAGCAGGGTCCTGGTCTCCCCTGCACCCCAGTGCCCAGCCCAGGGCCTGGCACAAAGGAGATGATCAACGTTCGGTGGGCATGGGGCTGTGTGTGCTGTGTATCTGCTACATCCCAGCTGTCCTGCCATGTCAGCTGTGGGAGGCGGCCTCCCGAGGGCAAAGCTCTCCTCCTGACCCTGAGCCTCAACGTGCCCCTACCTTCACAGATGGCACAGCTCCCTCCCACTGCCAAGAAGGATCAATGAGTCATGCTCATTAACCAAAGACATATCAGCCTGCCTCCTGTTTTCTTCTTTCTTCATTTTTTAATGCTACAGAATAAGAGAAGACTGCCTGGCCCTAACGACTCAGGGGAAGAACACGCTTTCCACCAAAAAAACTTACTGCCTGAAGTTGAAGAAAGTTCTGGAAAACATCTGCATCTTGTTCTAAAGGAAACAAAAGGATGCACTGCTGTTACTTGGTGGTAAAAGGAAAGATGCCAGGTGAGGGAGAGCTGAGTCAAAGACACGACAGCCTGAAAGATGCTTTGAGTTTCTGATTGGGAGGCGGCTGGGACAGACAGCAGGGTGTGGACCCAAGGAGAGCTGAGACTCAGAGGAAAAAGGACAGGCCTTCTTTGAAATAGTGGGGAAGGTT